TCGGACAGAAATGCAATATGCCCTCAATCTGCAGTTTGATGATTTCCCTGATGAGGAATCACGAGTGGCTTTGTGATTGGGCATCTTGAAAAGGGGCGAGAGACTGGGTTAGACCCCTGATGGCAGCGCATAGTGACGTCCTAAAGGACACGATGAAGTTCTTTCGCGCCATGGATCTGATGTTTTCCAGCGATATTGAAAAGGGAGTGGTGCGCAGACAGTTAATGGCTTGCAAACAAGGGAGCCGATCTGTACGTGAGTACTGGACTGAGTTCACCATGCTGATACACAGATTGGGGTGGGACTTATCGGCGGAACCCATTCAAATGCTCTTTGAAGAAGGGCTTTCTTCGGCTGTGAAAGATGAACTTTCCCGGGCGCCCAGGGCGGAGTCTATGGACCAGCTGACCAAATCAGCGCTGGCCATAGGAGGCGCGCCAGGAGGCGAGAGCATTGGAGAGGCGGGAAGAGAAGGGGAACGTTGGAAGGAGTTCCGCATTCCAGACATTCCAGAGCCAACTTTCCCGCCGGCAGAGCCGATGGAAATCGGAACAGCGCGCGCGCGCAGTTTCAAAGCCCAGTGAGGGTGGAAAGAAGGAGGGAAAGGCGCCCGGAAATGCTATCTCTGCCAACAGCCAGGGCACTTTGCCAGAGTCTGCCCCCAGAGGAAGGAATGGCAAGGGATGGTGGGAGCTGTGGAGGGAAGAGAGGAATCATTCCGGAGCAACTAAAAGCCAACGCCTGGCTGCCATTGTCGGGGCACAGCAGCCAGGCCAAAGAGCAGTGAAAGTGCCCACGCCAGAACCTCCTAAACCCGCCCTAGTGATAGAAGTGACACTAGAGCTGCCAAACGGACACCCTCTAAAGATAAAGGCGCTGTTGGACTCAGGCAGCTCCTGCAATTTCATGAGCAAAGAGTTTGCAGCTGAACACCAGATACAGACGCTCCCTTTAAGCAGCCCCTGCAGGTAACCACGATCGATGGCAGGGAGCTGTTGGGAGGAGAAGTCAGCTTGCAGACCGTCCCAATGATAATGAAGGTGGCAAGGCACACCGAACTAATAGCGTTTAATGTGGCCACCTTGGGAGGAGCTCCCATTATATTGGGGATGAGCTGGCTAGCGTTACATGATCCGCTGGTGGGCTGGCATCAAAGAGTGGTTTCTTTTGGGTCAGCACATTGCTTAGAACACTGCAAAGAGGAAAGGTTTTGGCAGGGGCCCAAGCCACCCTAGCAGGGACTGAAGTAACGGAGAACGTGAAGGTACCACGACAATACGCAGATCTCCGCGACGTCTTCAGCGAAAGGAAGCTGATCAACTACCACCGCATAGAGCCTTTGACTGTCAAATCAATTTGCTCCCTGGGGCACAGCTCCCTGTGGGCAAGCTGTACGCCATGTCAGACAGAGAGATGCAGGAGCTAAGAGAGTTCATTGACAAGAACCTGAAGAGAGGGTTCATCAGAGAGTCCAGGGCGGTGGGGGCAGCCCAGTGTTTTTGTGGACAAAAAAACACGAACAAGCCGAGACTGGTGTGTGACTTCAGGGCCTTAAATGCAGTGTCAGAACCAGTGGCCTTCCCGATGCCCAGGATTGACGACATTTTGACAAGGGTGCGGAAGGGAAAGATTTTCACCAAGCTGGATCTAAGGGGGGCGTACAACCTGATACGAATAAGGAAGGGGGATGAATGGAAAACCACCATGTTCACCCCTTTAGGGGCATTTGAATACTTAGTTATGCCCTTCGGTCTACAAGCAGGCTCCGCAACATTTCAATCGTTTATGAACCACGTCCTGGGGCCGTTGCTTTACAAGAATTGTGTGGCCTTCTTAGACGACGTGTTGGTGTATTCTGAGAATGAGGAGCAGCATGTGAGAGACGTCAGAGAAGTGTTGAGCAGGCTGCAAGCCAACCAGCTGTGGGTGAAACTGGAGAAGTGTCAGTTTCATACCAAGGAGGTGGAATTCCTGGGGTATCGCCTGTCTGACAAGGGGTTGGCCATGGATCCCGGCAAGGTCCAGGCGGTACTGGAATGGAAAACACCCAAAACAAGGAAGGATGTGCAGAGGTTTTTAGGATTTGGGAACTTCTATCGTAAGTTCATCCCAAACTTTGCCCACCTGACGGCGCCCATTACGGACTGTCTCAGCAGTAAGAAGAAGTTCGTTTGGACGGAGGAGGCGGAGCAAGCATTTGAGGAACTAAAAAGGGCCTTCGCCTCGGAACAACAGCTCCTGCATGTGGATTTACAAAAACCGATGAGAGTGGAAACTGACGCATCAGACAGAGCGGTTGGGGCGGTGCTTCTCCAGCCAGGGAAGGAGGAGTCAGAGTGGAGACCGTGTGCTTTTTTCGCGAAAGCTGAACAAATCCGAGAGGAACTACACGGTGTATGACCGAGAACTACTAGCCATTCATGAGGCGTTCCGGAGATGGAGGCACCTGCTAATTGGCGCACAACATAAGGTGCAAGTGTGCACTGACCACAAGAACCTAGAGTATTGGAGGACGGCACGAGTGCTCACCCACCGGCAAGTGAGATGGGCCCAGGAATTCTCCAAATTTAACTTTGAGATTTGTTACGTGCCAGGCCCAGAGAACATTAGGGCGGACGCTCTCTCACGCAAACCTGAATATTTGGAGGGGGAGGGAGCACCTGAAGAGAGACATGTCATTCCAGAGGACCGCTGGGTGTGTGGGGCGGCATTGGTGGGACAAAGAGAACTGGTAGAAGAAACAGAGAATGATGAATACGCCCAGAATAAGCTCAGAGGTCTTAGGGATGAGGGAGAGGAATCAAGGGGTTTCGAGGAAAGAAATGGAGCTTTGTATTACAAAGGGGCACTGTATATCCCTGAAGGAGACTTAAGGGGAGGGTACTCAAGCAGTTGCATGACAGCCCCACGGCGGGGCATTTTGGGCAACACAAAACCATGTGGTTGGTCACCAGGGAATTTTGGTGGCCTAAGGTGAGGGAGGATGTACGTGAGTATGTAAGAGGGTGCGAGCAGTGCCAGCGAGCCAAAGGGAAAGGCGGGCGCCGGCGGGGCTGTTAGAACCCTTACCAACACCAGAACGACCTTGGGAGGCAGTGTCGATAGATTTTATGACTGATCTGCCGAAGTCCAAAGGGAAAACAGCCATCATGGTGGTGGTAGACCTACTAACAAAGATGTGCCACTTTGTAGCTTGCTCGCATGCAGTCACGGCGGAAGAGACAGCGAAGTTATTTGTAGAACACATTTTTAGGTTGCACGGGGTGCCATTGAGGGTGGTCTCAGACCGAGGAAAACAATTTACTTCCAGGTTCTGGAGGAAGCTCATGAGCTTACTGCAGGTGGAGGTCAACTTTCGACTGCCCGGCACCCTGAAACCAACGGGCAGGCGGAAAGAGCAAACGGTGTCCTCCAGCAATACCTGAGGTGTTATGTCAATGACAGAGAGAATGACTGGGTAGAAAAGTTGGCGCTGGCGGAATTTGCCTACAACAATGCCGAGAATGTGTCCACAGGGATGAGCCCCTTCTTGGCTAATTATGGGTGTCATCCCAGGGCTTTCCCAGGGGAGAAGGGGAGAGATGGAGCGTACCGGCAGCCGAGCATTTTGTAGAAGAAATGGAAGCAATCCACCGTCAGCTCCAACTCAACTTAGAAAGGGCGAAGGAAGAATACAAGAGGCAGGCAGACAAGAACCGAAGGGAAGGTGAAACCATAAGGGTTGGAGATAGGGTGTGGCTGTCAACCCGAGGGTTGCCGTTCAAAGGAGGTTGTAAGAAATTAAGACCCAGGAGGTTGGGTCCCTTTGAGGTCATTCAACAGGTCAACCCAGTGGCTTTCAGGCTCCGGTTACCCAACCACATGAAACTGCACCCAGTATTTCACAGGTCGTTACTGTCACCGTACGAGGGGACGAGAAGGGATGGCCACTCGGGGACCGGTCATAGAAGAAAGAGAATGCAGCAGTCATGTGGCAGAAATCCTTGATGCCAGGTGGAAGGGGAATCAGGTGGAGTATTTGGTAGCGTGGGAAGGAGAACCGGAGTCAGAAAACACGTGGGTAATGGCCGAAGATATCAATGACGAGGTATTGATAGAAACGTTCCATCAAAGGTTCCCGAGGAACCTCAGCCTGTGGAGAGGTTCCGGAGGGAATACTTTGGGACCACTGAGGAGGAGGAGGAGTTGGAAGGATTCCCAGAATCGGAAGGGGACGGGGAGATGGACTCGGAGGAGGAGGAGTGCTTCGAGACCAGGAACCGCAACAGGTGGAGAGAAGTGTTCGAGACATCGGAAGATGAAGGAAGTTCATTCCGGGGTTTTGCCTCCTCACCGCCCGTAGAGGAGGGCGAGAGGGGGTGAAGGGGGCCCTGGAGGGGAGGTGGATGTCAGGGAACTGCCATCGGAAGGCAGGGAGGTGAAAGGACTCAGACAGGTTGGAAGAGACTCAGCAGCTGAAGAGGGAACCAGCAAGGGAGAGAAGCTGAACTGAGGGAGGTGAAAGGGCTCAGACAGGTTGGAAGAGACTCAGCAGCTGAAGAGGAAACCAGCAGGGGGAGAGAAGCTGAACTGAGGGAAAGGGAGCTGGGGGGATGGCTCAGAGATACTTCCAGCGAAAACAGTGGTGAGGTTTCCGGACCTCCTGTAGGGACACCCACTCCTCGCCGGAAACTGTCACGCAGAGAGTCCAGAAGACGTGTTTCCGTTAAGGAGCTTTTATGTTGGAAGCGATTACGAAAGCAACCACTGTCGGAATCTTCTAGTGACTAGAGGAGCCATGTCAGAGGGGCTCAGTCACAGACAGAGGTTTGTGGACTTGAACAAACTCTGAGGGAATACGATTTTACGCACAAGCAGCTCATCTTCCCATCACAGTTAGCATGATACATTTTAAAATAGCATTAAAGTACAGTTAAAACTATGGTACTCCAAGTGTTATCTCAAAATATTCCAACTAGCAGCAGCCAAGGTGTCTAAAAAACAACGCAAACATATTGGGTCCATTATAATGAATAAAATAGTTTTTATTTTTTTTATTTTTATTTTTTTTACAAAGGTTATAGAATTGCCATCTACCTTAAAAGGACACCTTTTTTTAGTAATCAACACTTAATTTATAAGACTTTATATGAAGAATGTATCAAATAAATTTCAGTAAATTCAAGGGATTAAGTATGAAAATACTTAAATACATTTTAATATCCTTTTTATTATCATTACACTTTGCCATTGCACTGTTTAAAGTAATATAATAGAACAACATTGCTTTGAAGGGATTCATTAAAACCAAGACAGCATCTGTAGGGGCAAGCAATTTTTTAAAATTCCAGTCCAGAATAACTGGCTGAAGGCCATTTGCTGTCTGAATGATGCCAGTGACATGAACTTGATTGTATGATTCCAGCACTTAAAAAGAGCACATTGGTTATACATGGCTTTTCACCTTGGGCTACAATTATGCTACCAAGCTCAACTGGAGTCTGAAATCAGTCATGTGGCATCGTGCACAGTATCTGAACACTGTTTAGAGTCCTTGGTTGCCCAGATCTGATGAAGGTGCAGAAGGCGCTCCGAGGTTCGTGTGCTTACATTCAGGGCGGGGTGAACCTTGCGAATGCCCGACTCCTCCATTAGCGACAGGCCACAGATCCCAAAGTAGGCATGCAGAGCATCTGGGAGGAGACATCAGAGGACGTGCATTATTCTGCAGTAGACAATAGCCATTTTCTCAAGAAAAAAGTATCTCACTGCATGCCAATAGTAAACATAGCATCAACACGCAATATTCCTTCTTGCTGTCTGAAAACTGTCTGTAGTAATTAAAGCTTATGGGAGACAGCAAATTGGGGTGGAGAGAAAGGGACCACATATGCCAAGCATAGGTGCCAACTTGGCCAAGGTCCCTTGGTGTGCCCCCCAATAAAATGTTTGAGGGAGCCAGGCCCCCCTAAAGTTGATGGGTATTGCCATTCAAATGGTGTGCGTGTGCTACGTCATGTGACTGATTATGTGGGGCAGGGCTTACCTCCCCACCCCAATATTTTCTGCAAGTTGGCACCCCTGATGCCAAGTACCAAGCAAGCTACACAAGCGCATGTGATTCCACTAAAGTAGCACTGATCCACCCCCTGGAAGCAATACATACTTGTCATTATTAAAAGTTTGCATTATTCAACAGCGCTGGTTCCCAATTAGCTATTGACCCCCTGTTTTTCAAAAGCCAACCCATGGACCCCCTACTTTTGAAAAAATGTTATCTCTATTGTATTTTTTGTTATGTGCATGGTGCCATGAACCCCCTGGGTGGGATACATGGACCCCCCTGGGGTCCACGGCCCACCAGTTGGGAACCACTGTTCTACAGGGATGCCACTGAAGGTCATGACCTTACTCTGCCTCCTGGGACAAAATACAGTCATGTAGTCATGCACATCACATTATACCTGCTTTTATATTAAACTTTGTCAGAATCCACACAATATTCCAGAAATGAGAAAAAGCCTGGTGAAGAGTTCAATCTTAATTTTTTAAGAGACAAATTTTAGACTATAAATAGCAGAAGACTAGGGCTGGGCAATATATTTATATATCGTAGGGCTGCCATATGTCTGGATTATCCCAGACACTACCGGGATTTCAAAGGCGGAATTGAAGTCTGGGGGGGATTTCCAAAGGCAAGTCAATCGGAAAATCGCTTTTTTTTGGCATTTTTGTAAACAGCTCAACAATTTTGGGGGCTTCCTTTAAAAAGCTCAACTACTTTTGGGGTACCCTGGTTTTTACTTTTGGAAATATGACAACCCTATATATCATCCCAAACCAATTTGAAGTCCATGTCATGATATCAGATTCATAATTTTTGACCTGGCACTACACTGCGAATTATGGTGTGTGTGTTTGTGTGTGTGTCCTGCAAAAATCACAATGTGGAAAAAAATGTGAAGCCAGCCAATGCCTCTACATAGCTCCATCCTTATTCCAAACGTTGTAATGTATCAGTTTATCACAATGTTTAGCTGGTGATATATTGTGATGTTGAAAACCAGGTGTAGTCCAGCCCTATAGAACACCTAGAGGGTCCTAAACTACAGGACAGGTGCCTAATAATTTGCTTTAAAGTTCCCAACAACATCCCACATACCAGGTCATACAGTCAAAAGACTAAAGTCATGACATGTATTTAAAGAGATATATGGCAATTCCAAAAGAAACATAAGGGGTGTGCAGCAGCTCAGTCTGTTTTGGAGCCGCTGTGTTGTTCCAGTTCTATTAATTATTACAGCCTAAACTTGATCTGTTAAATCTGAAGCTCTACACACATACCCTGACTATATTGCAGAATCTTAAAAAATAAAAAAGTGGTCCACAGCACGTCTATAAAAATTCCACCAAAAACCTAGCACAGTGCATGTCAGTTGCTACAACAGGTGGAAAAACAAGTGATTTGCCAAGACCCTCAGCAATTTCAAGCGATCCATGAGGAGAAAGGTTTGGGAACCACTGTCCTACAGTATTGTGCCTTGCTTAACCCACCCAGAAAAGTCTGCATTTTTTCACCATCTGCCTTCATTCCTGGAAGTACCGTCCATGAAAAAGAAGAGAGGGAGATTTTATTATGTTGCTTGATTCTTTGTTAGGAAAAAATCAGAAAATAAGGAAGCCACTCAAATAGTCTAACTTCATCATTAACGCCCTGACCTGAGAGCCAAAATTCAGAGAATGACCACCAGTGTGAAGAAACCTCTCTCTTCCAAATCATTGTGAATTGAAGCTCCAAGGAAATAATTCACTGTGATTAACAACTAGATCTGTCCATCAAAGTGAAAATCCCTTCCCCCGCTCCTTCCACAACACAGGTAACAAAGGTGGTTGCTGCTTTTTTAATTGTTGCATATTTGGTGAATGGAAAGGATCATTTAAATGGTGGTATCCAATGCACTCATTCCATTAGCACATGAATTTATGCTTGCCCCACCGCACACCCTCCCCCCAAAAGACCGAGGGAACCTACAAAACAGAATTAGGGAATACACAGTGGTGGTGGTGGTGGTGGTGGGAGAAACATGTTGCAAATGTAAAGACTTCCTTAGCGTTACACAGCATTCCACCCAAAACTTTACAAAATTGAATTTGTATGCTTGCTCAGAACCACACCTGAAGAGCTGGTGCCAACAACCAAATAATACTAAAAAAGTGCAGCTGGTCAACCAAGTGAGACAGTGTGTTGGATCTGGAGAAACAAAATATACTCCTGCAACTGGGCATTCCTGGTTCCGCCACTACACTGTAGCCCCCACAGTATGATGAGGCATGGGAGGATGGCTTCTAAAAGCATAAGTTCCTTCCTGCTCATGAAAGACCACCTTTGAATCTGGATAACTTCTAGGTGTCAGACATTTGGATGCTGGGTCATATCCCATGTCTGGAAACACTTCCAGAGAAGTATTAATAAGACAGAAAAAGCTATCCTGGTTTTTTTCTTTTCTAAAAATGCTCAAGCATTTTCTTTATATCAAGGCTGTGTGTGTGTATGTGTATAAAATTTTCAGCCCAAAGGCCACATCCCATCATGAACAACCTCACAAGGACCACAAGGGCAAAAGCTGGTTGGGGGCAACAGATTTTTATTCTTTGATAGTAAAGTACATTCCAGCCACATGAAAATCAAATGTTTCTACCTGTCTCTTTCTCCATTCAGGTAAGCAAGAGACATCACCACAATTCAAGGAAACATTCCAGCCGGTCAAAAACACTCGAGTACATGGGACAGCGAAGGGTGTGGCTTAGGAAGCGGCAGAGCCTGGACAGAGAGGCCTGGAAGGCTGAACTTGTTCTCAAGGCCTGAGGTTCCCTACCCTACCTTACAGAAAGGAACATGGGTGTCAACCTAGAGGCAAGAGAATAGAAATGGAAGCAGGAGAATTTGTGCTTTGATCTGTATCTTTCTAGACCAAAACCCTCATTTTTTTACTGCTTATGCTGTTTAGACCTTAAGACTTACAAAGTTTCAATACCTGGTTAGTCCTTAATTGTGGTGGTTCCTTCCTTTTCTCCCACAAGTCTCAAGCTGTTAAATGATGATGCTTAGTTAAACCAGCATTCTGAGCACAATTTCCAACTACTTCTATGGATAAAAGCAGTTTTAATGCCCCTCATTCAACTCAGCAAGACAATTTTAGAAGCTATCAGAACTTCAGCTGTTTAAGGAATGGCAGAGGCTTGAAACTCCTGAAAATTAGGCCCTCTGATCCAGAAGCCCAACCTCTTCAGCCATTCTCTGTAAGTGCATGGCACATAGTACAGAAGACTCTGGTTCAAATCATGACAGAAAGGAAGCCCTAGCTCAAACAGAGAACTTCAGCAAGCTATTCCATTGCTCTAGATCTAAAAACGAACTAGTTAAATCAGCTTATTGCTAGCTACAAGTGATAGATTCTATCCTACCTTCCTGTAGAATAGCAGACGTCTGGAAAAGATGCTAGCTGGGACTGTCAGAATGTCCTTCTAAAGCAGGAGATACCAACACAGAGGCATTAATACCATACTTCACAGGTTCCACGGCTGAGTTTTAGCATTTGAAAATACATTCCAGAGCTTAGCCGCCCCAGCTCAAAATAAGCCCTAAAAGAAGTTTTCTTGCAAGGTTGCCAAAGCTCTGGGCAGACTATCATGAACTGCCTACAGCTGCATGTGGAAGCAAGGGCATAACCTCCTGGCCCCAACCCCATACCAAACAGCACATGCTACAAGTTCCAACTATATAGGGCCCTCCATTTGTGGTCTAGCACACAAAAGCTTCAATTGGTGATGTGCACCCTCCATATTTCAACGGCACACGGAAGATGGGCTGAGAGTGGAGTTCCAAAGTGCTGCTCTACATGCTGCGTTCTGCACCTATACACAAATGCCTGCCTATCATTTCTACCTCTCTCTCCAACGGTAGCAAGGTCTAGAAGGCTTTGGGGGATGCAGCCCATGGCCTGCCCAGCTCTGGTGTAAATGAAGAACTCACAGACAGGAAAGCTGTCATCCCAGGAGAATGGCCTCCAGCAATTTGCAGTGTCTTCTGGCCCCTGGCAATATTTTTAAATTTACAACCGTACACATCATTCCAAATTCAGCCATACTGTAAAAGCCATGTTGTGGTCACAGTTCTAACAACACTGAGAATGATTTAATTTTTTTCTCTGCTGCCACCAGTTTGACATTTCAGTGACCCCAAGTTTTTTCCTCATTAGCCACAGCAGTTCAGACCCCCATGCATATCTGATTAGGACTTTTGCCGCAATTTGCATCATTTTACATTTTCTGAAACTGAACCTCGCTTGCTATTTTACTGGCTTTTCACGCAATTTGGAGACACCTTATGGGGCTCTTCAGTATCAGCTTAGATTTTTATCATCCTGAATAATATGAAGCCATCTTCAAACTTGGTCATCCAGGAGTAAGTTGTACAGCACCATTCTCCATACTGAGCCTTGTGTGGCTGCACGACTTACATCCCTTTATTGTAACAAATGTCCATTTACCTCTACCTTGTTCCTGTTTTACAACCCATTACCAACCTGTAACAGGAAGAGTATTATCTTATGTATTTATTTACAATACTTACATGCCACCCAACAACACAACTTCTCTGGTTAGTTCCTATGACTGGTAAGTTTACTTAGGAGACTTCGGCAAGGTATTTTCTCAAAGGTTTTTTGGAAGTGCAGGTATACAATATATAGAGGATCAAACTTTGGTACACATTTGTTAACAATTTCAAAGACAAGATAAGCAGTATATATTCCCTCTGTGGAAAGTGATTTCTCCTCATCAATATCTATCTTCAATAATGGTTCCAAAACAGATATTATGCTAATGGGTTGTGTAACTAAACGGGAACATTGTCACAACAACAAAAATGGATAGGAAAGAGATTCGTTCCTTAGGACAATTACGCAAATGCGAACACCATACTCCTTTTCTTAATGTGCTACTTCAGCGCCACTATACAAACACTAATATCTACTTCCAATTTCCTTCACCTTTTGTTCTCATCTACTTTTTCGCTATGGATGTAGCGCACAATATTGTTTTCAACCAATCTACTGCTGGTTATGTAACCAAAACACCAGCTAGCACAATCTGTAAAGCCAAAATCATGGCTTAAGAAGTTCTTATAAACGATTTGCGTGAGTAAGAGCCTGTTAGTGTTCAATGTCACTACTCTCTTATACCATACCAAAAGTATTCATGTTTCATTTTCATGTTATAAGTATTTGGCTATGGTTTCTCTTCCTGCCCCCTTTCCTTTCCCCTCGCCCTCTCATGTAGGTGGGCAAAAAAAGTTCATTTACCTGGATGACTATCTGGCCATTTAGCAAATCCACCAACAAGGCGATCTTGGGTTGATAAAATGTAATTCCTGTTCTTTTCATAGTTTGTATACTGAAATATTTTCAGAAGCTGAAAGAAAGGTTTGTCGTGTTAACACACATTATCAGTTTTAACATGCACCAGAAGTACAAACAGAGAATTGCAAAGTTTGTATACTCTTTAAGAAGAAAAATGAATTTCTAGAATAAACTATAGGACATAAAATAGCACCTTTGATATTAAAGGTCAACCTAAATTAACTTATTAATGCAGAAGTTAAACAGTCAGAAGGCAGATTATGAATGACAGTGTCTTGCTTCAAATTTCAAGTTACCTTAAGAGTTGCTCCAACCCAAAATGAGTAGCAGGTATCCACAGGCTTGTTAGGTCGGCCATGATAACCATTCTGTTGCCGCATAATGCACCATCTCCTTATCCTGTCCAGCTGTTTCTCAGAGAATACCTCTTCAAGTTTACCCATTAGGCATAGGGATGCAATACCACAAAAAGTAGAGCCACCTGAAAAACCAGACAAGAGTTTCCCAAACATAGTTTTCAGTCTTCCATGGAGCTACTGAGGAAGCTCAGTTTACATAAACTACTGTATCTAAAAGACAATTTTAGGTGATACACTGTCATTCACCCTAGCAGAGAGAGGAGGCATTGAGTTAAGCATATGTAGAGCTGGACAAACAATTTTCAAACAAAACGACTGGTAAGCCACTCAACCATGTTACTGTTTTGTTAACCAATTGTCATCCCACTTATACCACGGTATGCATGTTTGTTACTTTACCTGTAGTTTTAGGCCAGGCGCAGATGTAACACAAGAATTAAGGGATTTGACAATGCTATCATAGGCTCCCACATACGCACATTTCCCCCCAAATCTGGGCTCACTTAAAAACTTCTGCAAAGAGAGATGCACATGCCAAGAAGCTTCCTTTTTGCACTTGGTTTCATTGAGAGTTACTGACAAAAACTGGATATTGTGAATCTTGTGTTGAGACCTCCTTGTTGAAGTAATGACCTAATTGCTTGTTTATCACTTTCACAAGGAGGACTCTCAGCACAAGATTCATCATATCCAAATTTTGTCAATAACCTGCAATGAAGCCAAGCTCAAAAATAAAGTTTCTCAGTGCATGCAGTTCTTCCTTGCAGAAGTGTTCTATCCCATTACCACTGTAATAAAGTGATCCTTAAGAAAACAAATACTCTTACCATGAGATTCAAGTCCGGCTCCTTGGGCAAGCCCATTGTCATAAGACTGAAAAGGCAAATGGCAGGCAAATGTAAGCATTCATGCAGACCTTTGAATGTACACTTCATTTTAGTAAAACTACATGGCCTTGGCCAAAAGTTATTTCTAGTCTCCCACAGCCTAGGAGATGACTTTTCAAAGACACTGGACTAACTTCAAAGTTATAACCAAATGTATACAGCTAGACAGTGCTCAAATTCATTAATAATAATAATAATAAGAAGAAGAAGAAGAAGAAGAAGAAGAAGTGGTGGTGGTGGTGGTGTTCTTCCACTCTATACAGGAGCCCAGATAATGCCATTATGAAAAGACAATAAATTCATTGACAAGCAGTTGTGACTGCTGTGGGTCAGGGTTGGGGGAAGAATGCAGGCAGCAAACAATGTCCACCCTTCCCTAAAAACTAATCAGCTGACTCAAAATAATCTGCTACTTGTAGACACCGGATGCCCAGCTAATCAGGTGTGTCATAAACAATGAGAATGGAACATCACACCAAGTATAAAATAATTTGCTTGAAGGTAGGTAGAGGACCTAGTTTACTCCAGGACCAAACTCGTGATACTTAAAAAAACACAGAACACTGACCTAAGGTTTATCTGGACGCTGAGACTGACTGTTGTCATCTTGCTTGTAAGATAACTGGGAACTTTGCCCTTTTAAAGGAGGAACTGCAATCCTCCGCCCTTCCAATAATTATTGCACTCATATGTTTGACTGACACAAGACAGGAAATGTGAAAAGCCAAACAAACAGCAGCCTTTGCTGTTTGCACAGAATATATATTTTTAGCCTAATTACAGATTCCTAATTTTATTACTGAATGTGTAGAGAAGTTTACTCTATGCTCAAACTATAGCTATGCAAAACTAAAGCACAGCCCTTTAGGACGCTGGGCAATTCTAGAGCAGACTAGAAAGTTGTTTTCAAAACAGTTCCTGGTCATTGGATTTTTCTGTAATATTTCTTGCTGCACATTACCTTTGGTACCGAAGTATTCACTGAGCCAACTTTGACAGTGCTAAAGCTTGTGTATCCCAATACTAAACAAACCAGTAAATCCAAGGAAAAAAACAGAATACATGCGGGTCAAGGGGCCCTTAGAATGGCATGGGCTGTGGTACAGAAATACAAAAAGAATCTAAGTCTATGAAAATACTGACTTGAAATAATATTTGACTTGCCAAAGGTGTTGCTACCTAACCAAATTATATTCAGCAGCATTCAAATTTGCACTGCAATGATAAAAACATATAAGCTTGAACGAGCCTTATTTTCTTGCAAACGACAACATAGGAGATGTTGAAACAAAAACTACATCTTTGAATAATAGCACCCTTCTAACAATGGCATCTGTTTTGCCTGTGATAAAGGGGACATTATCAGTACAAGCCAGAACTGTACATAAACCAACAGTTCACTACAATGAAATACATGGGCACCTCAGAAACGTAGATACGGTGTTGAAAAGAAATACAGGTGAAACCCGGAAAATTAGAATATCATGGAAAAGTTCATTTATTTCAGTAATTCAACTTAAAAGGTGAAACTAATATATGAGATAGACTCATGACATGCAAAGCAAGATATGTCACGCCTTTATTTGTTATAACTGTGATGATCATGGCGTACAGCTGATGAAAACCCCAAATTAACAATCTCAGAAAATTAGAATATTAAAAGAAATCAGCAAAACAAGGACTGCAAATAGAGCAATATTGGACCTCTGAGAAGTAGAAGCATGCATATGTATGTACTCAGTACTTGGTTTGGGCCCCTTTTGCATCAATTACTGCCTCATTGCGGTGTGGCATGGATGCTATCAGCCTGTGGCACTGCTGAGGTGTTATAGAAGACCAGGATGCTTCAATAGCAGCCTTTAGCTCTTCTGCATTGCTCGGTTTCATGTCTCTCATCTGTCTCTTGGCAATGCCCCATAGATTCTCTATGGGGTTCAGGTCGGGCGAGTTTGCTGGCCAATCAAGCACAGTAATCCCATGGGCACTGAACTAGGTTTTGGTACTTTTGGCAGTGTGGCAGGTGCCAAAGTCCTGCTGGAAAATGAAGTCAGCATCCCCATAAAGCTCGTCTGCAGAAGGAAGCATGAAGTGCTCCAGAATCTCCTGGTAGACGGCTGTGTTGACCCTGGACTTAATGAAGCACAGTGGACCAACACCAGCTGATGACATGGCTCCCCAAATCTCTTTTCTGATGAGAGCAGTTTTTGCATCTTATTTGGAAACCAAGGACCCAGAGTCTGGAGGAAGAATGGGGAGGCACACAATGCCAGATGCTTGAAGTCCAGTGTGAAGTTTCCACAGTCTGTGTTGATTTGGGGAGCCTATCTCATATATTCACCTTTTATATATGAGTTTCACCTTTTAAGCTGAATTACTGAAATAAATGAACTTTTCAAAGACTGATCCGCCTGATTTTTCAAAGACTGATCCGCCAAAGACTGGATGACATCGATTTACAGCAAAATTATATGCTGGGGGGAGGTGTTTGTTCGCCCCAGAACATTGGTATCACTTTAACTTATTGCGTTCCATCATACCTCTCCTCCCTTTCGACTGTTGCCCATAGGCTGGCCTTCACCAAAGCGAGGTTTAATGTTTTCCCTCCAATGTCCTGAGACATAGATTCTCAAAGGGCCAAACCTCCGCCATGTGCGAATGTGACAAGGAGATGCCGGAGTCGCTTCAGCACATTATGTTCACTTGCCCCTTATTTAAGGTGCCACGGGCAAACTTGTTGGGATCAATCATACAGAAATTAGAGGGTACTCCACCAAAATTCCACCTTGCCCAAATCTTGCAGGATAAGGATGCCCATACGACCCTGAAAGTGGCTAGGTTCCTGGTCGCTGTCCTTACCCAAAGCGTCGCCAAGGAGCACCACAAGCTAATTAAGGCGTAGTATGCCATTCCATCTTATAGTAGCTTATTGTTATAGTATTGTTTTAGCGGCTGTTTTTTTCCCATGTGCACAGGCTGTTATTTATGTCTTGTTTTTATCTGTATGGGCCTACGGCCGTAATAAATTATTATTATTATAACTTTTCCACGATATTCTAATTTTCCGAGTTTCACCTGTATTTCCATTTTCCATTCTCCATATTACCCTTTCTGAGAAAAATTCAGGTTGCAAGGTAAGTTGCTATTTTGAATATTAGTGCTGCAAAAATATTCTAGACCAGTTGGGTACTCAAGAGTACGCAGTACCAGCAACTCTTTTGTTGTTGTGAAAAAGTGCAACACACATACTGTTACAACTTCATGGTGAGTACCAGCACCTATTTTTCTAGAAGAAAAAGCACTTAAGAATAATTGTGCTTGTTAATTCCTAAATATAATACTTTTGCTTCTAGGAGACTCATGTCTGCTATGAAGAAACTCCACTAATGTATTCTGGTGCTGGGAATTTTGAGAGATCTCAAGCACAAAGATAACAAATACCATATTTTTCTATGTATATGACACCTATTTTTTTAAACGCAAACTTAAGAAATCAATATTTTAAATTAGGGTTGCCAAAACCATGAATGACACTGTAACTTACAAGCAGATGGAAAGGTAAAGGTAAAGGACCCCTGGACGGTTAAGTCCAGTCAAAGGTGACTATGGGGTTGCGGCGCTCATCTTGCTTTCAGGCTGTGAGAGCTGGCGTTTCTGCACAGACAGATTTCTGCGTCACGTAGCCAGCATGACTAAACTGCTACTGGCGCAACAGAACACCGTGACAGAAACAAGAGCGCATGGAAACACCATTTACCTTCCCACCACAGCGGTACCTACTTATCTACTTGCACTGGTGTGCTTTCAAACTGCTAGGTTGACAGGAGCTGGGACAGAGCTGGGACAGGAGTGTGGGACACCCTGTCGTGGGAATCCGAACTGCCGATATTCCAATTGGCAAGCCCAAGATGCCCAGTGGTTTAGACTACCATCCATGTATAAGACGGCCCCAATTTTTTACTAAAAAATAGTAATAGCAAAAAACATTGTCTTATACACGGGAAAATGTGGTATATTCACACTGCTCTTAACTGACCACAAAGCAAAAGTCATCACTGTCTTCAGAGAATGCTAGTATAACAGAAATCTAAAAAGGGGCAGACTTTGATAATCAGAGCATTCACCTCTATCCTCCAACCTATTAAGCTGGAAAAGAAATGGAACACTACAGGGTAGGGTAGGACAAAGTGTTTGCATGCAAAGTAGGGATGAGGCATTTTCTGGAGTGCTTAACCTTTCTTAATTACTTTTATAAAACTCTCCAAATGATTCCGCCCCCCCCCAATTTCCTAGGAACTACATGTGGGAGCCCCATGCCCTTTTCTTGGTGGTGAACAGAAGGAGTGAATTTTTGTCCCAGGTGAGAAATAGGGATGGAGTAAGTCTGATATTGCTGTGCAGTAAATGTCTCCCAGTTTGATGTTTCTTGGCATCAACTGGTAGAATACAGCAGCAGCAGCAGCAGCAACAACAACTGGAGACTGCAGAGAGCAGGTTGCAGAGGAAAAGCAGCAGGCTCTCTGCAAAAGCCTCACTGCCTCTGCTTTATATGTCACAAGCAAAGGTAGGGCCCCAAATTCCTACGTTTGCTGCCAAATGCCTAGTTCTGCTTGTACACAAAAAAATTCTGCTATGCTCTATGAAAAGATTCACATAGCCACTGGCGGAGGAACAGGGGGAGGGGGGAGTGCACTGCCCCCAGGAAGGGGGGTACCATCGCGGCCACCCCCCAGACACGCGCCGCACACACCCCACCACGCCGGGCGGCGTGCCACGCCCCCGAGACACATGCCACGCCCCTGCCTGCTCTCCGTCCCCGGTGCTGGAGCATGCAGCTTCGCCACTGCACATAGCACATTTGTAATCACCCTCCCCTTTATATGTCTCTCTCAGAAATATAGCATTCACTGTTTTCCTTATACTACCAATAGTATTTTTGACCTTTCAAGCAGCTCAGGATGCATTCTTCAAGTTTCAGCTTTTAAAAGTCAACTTTACCACAATCGCCTCCCAGGACACAGCTTACCTAATGGCAATCTACACATTCATTCCTGTACAGCAGTTGAGAGCTGACTGCTTACGGCTTTGGCAGAATTTGAACTAAAGAGGGAAAACATAGAAGGACTATCTGTTTGACGTGCTTTTCAAGAGCAGTATTCTGGAGCACACTTGAGCATTCAAGTGTATAATCAAGTGTACTTGAAATCTAGTGTCTCACTACAAGTGTTAACTATGCAAGAGCTACTGGCTTTCTGCACATCAGATCAAGACTAAAAATACAGCATGCCAGATTCTTGGCATTGTGCAGGATTGATGGTGCAGTGCGGGATTCTCTTTTTATGAAATAACTGGTGGCAAAACTGCAGCCTATTGGTTACTGCGCATCTCTAGGAGAAGCCCATAGAGACAGTGCCTAGGAAGTGTCAGTCTGCCATGCTAATGATGGTCTGCTGGTGCAGATTCCAAACTTGTAGTGCAAGTTTAACTCATATCAGCTAAAAGAGAACAGGAAACTCAGGGCCTGGGTTGTTAATCTGTAACCCATGTACTCTGACAGATAATAGGCAATAGCTCATGCTGTTCACAACACAATCCTGTATTTCTATACTTACAAAAGGCAACATTAAAATTATTTGAACTTAAACTAGATTTATACCTTAAGTAAAGCTGTGCCCAACTAGCCACAGCAATTATATTTTCACCATGCTACAGGGCAGGATTCCAGCGTTGCAATCACACTAGTATGGAAAACGTTAACGTAAAATATGAACTGGTAGCTTTTCAGTTTTTGAAAGGTCTGTATGCCAATAACATCATAAAGGTAAAGGGTAAAGAGACCCCTGACCATTAGGTCCAGTCGTGGCCGACTCTGGGGTTGCGGCGCTCACCTCGCTTTATTGGCCGAGGGAGCGGTTGTACAGCTTCCGGGTCATGTGGCCAGCAGGACTAAGCCGCTTCTGGCAAACCAGAGCAGCGCACGTAAACGGCGTTTACCTTCCCGCCGGAGCGGTACCTATTTATCTACTTGCACTTTGACGTGCTTTCGAACTGCTAGGTTGGCAGGAGCAGGGACTGAACAACGGGAGCTCACCCTGTCGTGGAGATTCGAACCGCCGACCTTCCGATCGGCAAGTCCTAGGCTCTGTGGTTTAACCCACAGCACCACCTGTGTCCCAATAACATCATAAAAAGCAGCAATATAAGAATTTTGGATATTGAAATCCTATGGCTATGTACCATATTTCTAAGTAAACGTACACAAGATTGTAATGTTGGAGCCTTACAGTGCAACCGTATGCAAGCATATTTAGGAATAAGTCCCACTAAGTTCAGACTTACTCACAGCTAAGTTCCACAAAGGATTGCAGTCTGAATTGCCCAGAAGGGCTAATACTATCCATGAATGAATGAATGCACAGAATACTTAATATTTCTTGTACACAATCAGAATAGGCAACAATTTATATCAAAGTGGAGGCTATTTAGCAGTCATGAAATCCATCATTATTTCTAGTAAGAAGAAAAACTAAGTAGCGTATATCACTGTAGCATCATAAAAATTCATGTTTTAGAAGTCCTTTGTGTCCTAAATCATTAAGCATATCCTAATGTTGTCTCTCTCATGCTGCTCATTACAAAGGCAAATCTATGCATTAATGCTATAATATCCTGCATTAAATATGTTTGGATGCAGGAAAACTGGCAAAGAAGCTGCTTTATTGCTTTAGTTCCTCAATCAACACAGGAATACAAAATGTATGCATATGAAATGTTAAGAAAAGATTCTCTGAATAGAGGAAGTTGAAAAAAAATGATTTGCAAAACTCACCATGCTCCTCCTGATATAGTCAATGGCTTTCTTCGTATCCATCCCTGACCAGTTGTTAAGCATGTAGCATATACAAGCAGCACAGTACACAAATCTCATGTCATTTTCACTTCCTTCCAGGACTGCACAAAAACTAAAACATATAGAAGTTATGCAACAGTTACTACTCTGTTCAACTGAATCTCAATCTGGGTTTGTTTGGGGGTTTTTAGAACAAAACATAATTTACTTCAAACTGTCAGTTTCTATGGGAAAATGATCTAATTACCTGCTGAAAGCAGAACCCTGTCAGGTGATTACAAGACCTCTTTCAGTCATTTACCACAAAGCCAGCATACACACACTAGCTAGTGAAAGTACCATTTTGACCAGCCAGCATACCCACCACTCACCTGAGTAGCAGAGACTAAACTGAATTATTCCGTGCCATGTCCCATTAGCAAGGCTTTCTGCTTCCTAGAGCAAGGGTTATAAAACTTTCTTCCCCCAAGGTTGTTGAAAATTATGGAGGTCCGCCATTCACTAAATGGTGACAGATAGAGGCAGGGTTTGGCATAATCAGCAGGAATTCTGCATTTGTAATTCCAGCTTTTCATGAAAGCTCATGATTTCTACACCCCCTCTCCACAAATATTAAGACAACCAGGTGGCATCTGCTTTCTAGAACTTATGGAAACTAGCATATTGCTGAGCTACTAAATAGAGAAGAATTAAAACAAGCAAGATCAAATTATGGTTGTTGCTGCTTTGGTTGCAGCCACACCCAAGATTCAGGAGTCACTTTTTCCATCTATATAAAGTCTGCAGTCTATGAAAGGAGCCAGTCTCAGCAATGGAGGGAGGAATGCTCAGTTTGAAAGGCAAGCCAAAGAGATCAAAGTCATGTCTGTGGGTACACTGGAACAAGGAAAAGGGCTCTAGACCAGACTGGAACAGCAGTAAAAGCATTTGAGTGTCCATGAGGGTCTATTAAGAGGTTCTGGAGATCAGCAGGAATTACCATATATACTCGAGTATAAGCCATTTTTTTCAGCACATTTTTATGCTGAAAAAGCCCCCCTCGGCTTATACTCGAGTGAGGGTCCTTTCAGGCTGCTCCTTCCTCCTCCTCTGCCTTTGCCATTCTGTGGTAAAATTAGGTGCCTCGGCTTATATTCGGGTCGGCTTATACTCGAGTATATACAGTACACCTTTAATGAGTTGCTGTGATAGGAGAACCGAGGACATTCAGCAAACTATATAGCACAGTACTCTTCCCTACCTAAATCTGCAAAAGTCTCTTGACCTCCTGACTTCTCTAAATGCTGTTTTGGGTAGCCTAGAGCCCTTTGACCAGTTGCCGGCAATATAGGGAACAGACAACAAGTCACTGGCATTTAAAGACTAGGCTCTGAAACCCCCAGTGAAAGAACACCATTAAATGTAAGAATGCAGGCTTCCTGTCTGTGCTATGTGAAATGAAGAAGGGGACATCTCTGCTTGCTAGAATACCCTAGTCTGAGTTTGCTTTCCCTGGCAAGAAGAGACCTCAAAGTATGTAAGCTTCCTCTTGCTTACTGTGCTCAAGTCCTCACTTTCCTCACGCTGGATTCAGTCTCGCCAGTTCCTCCTTTACAGTACTGTGCATTATGTATTTGGATCCAGTTTTTCCTTTCTAAAAATATTTAACACCTGGCAACACAGAATTCACTGTACCTCCCGTCATCCAGCTGGAGAGCTCTTAGTCCTGCCAAGCAGGCTTCTTTATTTACTCGGCTCAAGTCATCGCCAAGAATAACTAAGCAGGAAAGGCCAGTGTAAGTCATTGCTATGTGCCCGCTATCATAGGGATGAGCAATACCGGGACCCTGAAACACAAGAAAATGCAATTAGAATTATTATTAGAGTTTATAGTTATCAACGGATAACAAAACAAGCATTTGTTTTAGCAGAAAACAGAGATTGTTTTCCTGAAGTGTCTTTGGGCAGGAGCATTGTTCTAGGAACATTTTGAGACAGGGAACTTTCATTAGCACAAACAGTTTCTGAGCTCTGGGCGCAGTACTGAGCCTAAAATTTCAGATTTAAACTGCAGAGTGGAAGGAAAGGAGGACCTTTTTCTGCCTCCCCACTTCTAGCTACTCTCTGAAGACCGGAGAAGAGACCCTCTTAAGAATATTAGAGGGGAGGGCAGGGGAAGGACTAGACCATGTGAAAAATCATTTTCAGCTTTGTATTCCTGTTATTAAAAAAAGCGCACCTGGACATTCGGTTGTTGTGCCCATAACCTAGGTTTAAGGTGCCATTTAACTCCTCGCTTTCATATCTCAGTTTCTAACACTGGGCAGGAGAAACATGCAGGAGAATTGCCTGAATGGCTATATATAAATGCCCACCTCTGCATGACCCACACATAGCAACAGCTATGCAAATAGCAGGAAGTGTGACAGTTATTTTAAGACCAGGGTACATTTCCAGCACCAGAAGAATTTTGCACAGATTTCTACGAACTGATGGCGGCTTCCAGTGTGCCAGTTTAGTCCTGTATGGCAGATCTCAACTACTGTACTAGGATAGTTGACCAAAGTAGACTTTCCTTTGCAAATATTCCTGAAACGTTCAGTCTAGAAAGACAAACAGCTTGAGAAATAAATAAAATATTTTAACAAGCTGGTCCTGCAGAAAGGACTTCACAATACCTTTCAGTATTTTCTGGGATTTACATTAGAGATTCCAGGTTACAAAATTCTGGCACCATGTAAAAGGATACAATGAGTTATCACCACACATCTAATATCACTTTCAATAAATTTAGAAATATGATCACACCATATAAATAGTGACAACCTAAAAAATAATCACACTCTGTTTATGGGAATTTCAGGGTTGCCATGTGTCCACTTTTTCCAGGACATGTTCTCTTTTTCAGGAGGTAAATTTTGAGACAAATTGCATTTATTGGCTTGTAAGGCCATCATAGTATCCTCTTTTTTGCTCTTCAAAATATGGCAACCCTATTTTAAAAAGAGGCCGCTCAAGCCCAGGTGGCTTACATTCTAGGGATGTGCATTCTCCCTCATTTCCATGAAAACTTATGGAAATATGGATATGATGTAAGTCTGATGTGTTATGCAGCATTTAGAAAGTCTTGTCATTTTTAAAGAAGGACTTCACACCTCTCACAACTGTAAAGAAAAGCCCACACGTGTTGGTTTGCCTGCCCATCATGCTAAGTCTATCTTAAGGGCATCTATTTTTGTGTCTTCCTCACAAGAACCACACTGATGCTGTCCTGATAACAGCAAGACAGAAATGTTAGGAATGGAATTTCTGTCCATGCAGCCAGCCTGCTAGCACACTGACACTGCAGACTTATTTGACTCCTCTGAACTTGCATTCCGTGTATTTGATTTGTGTTCCCTTTCTAACACACTTTCAATCCTACAGGCTGTTCATACTTCAAGGACCCCACTTCTCGCGCCTGCCACAAACTACATGAGACAACCATGTTATAAAGGTGAAGGTTTCCTATGAAGAATATCCTCATTTAGAACACAACATTCAAATGTGTGTTCAGGCAATGCTGCAATAATCTGAGGATTTGCTGCATTTTCCCGTGTATAACACACCCCCATGTATAAGACATGTATAAGACTCTTTTTTGGGACTCAATATTGAGAAAATGGGGGTAGATTGCCCACAGTTATTGAGCTGGGGGGGGGGGAATTGCACAGTATTGGAGGGGGAGTTTTGCCGAAAATCGCTCACCCTCAACAGCCAATCGCACGCACATCGACAAAGCCACTAATTGTTTCCACACTCACCAAAAGCAAGCACCAAAACAGCCCACAGCTGACACCCCCCAATTTTGAGCACCATTTTTAAATAAAATAACCTCGTCTTATACATGGAAAACTACGGTAAGTCATGCGTTAACACCTTTTTTCTGTACATGTCCATGCTGTGGAATGACGGAAAGAGAGTGAGCAAGATTCGCATCCGATAAAGACCCGAAGGAGTTGCAAATGGCCATGATTTGTGCAAAGTTAAAAGCAACATAAACCTGAATAAAATCAAAACTACTTTTAAAAGTAGTGTTCTGTGGGCACATCTTGAAAGACCTGTGGTTCCAAAATAAAGAACTGAACCGAACACATACTCCAGCAAGCACTGCTGCTGAGCAGATGCTGTTCGTTTTAACAGACCTCAAGTAGGATATGAGCAGAGGTTCCACAGCTTCACTGCTTAGTCAATTCTATGAAAAGTGAACAGAGTACCCTATGTTCACATCAACTTGAAATTCTTGGGTCACAAAGGTTCACAGAACCATTACATTATCAAGTCGCAGGCTTACACACATCCTACCTGCCCACATACATTCAATGTAGTTACTTTAGCAACTTACGGTGCAATCCTAACTTTACTTATCTGGGAGCAAGCCTCATTCAATTCAAGATGACTTGCTTCTGAGTAGACAATTTCCCAATTTCTATTCTTATTGGTTTTAAAAGCTTAAAGCACATTAAAAAGCTGTGCATCCATTTCTAGCTTTCATTAAAATATGGCTTCGATAATAAGAGCACTGTTCTGCCTCGCGGAAATGTTTTCAATTTACGAGTAGAATTTACAAAAATAGAGTGCTATTTTTACTCTAAAAAATGCTCACCTCAGAGCCTTATTTCATGATCATGTAAATATTTGTTAAAAGGCTGCAAAGGAAAGCACTGTAATTTTTTTCATCTAGTATTCACTAACCTTGGACGGATTGAATGGCATTCCCAGATACGAAGAACCACGGAATCCACAGCGATGCATGTTTGACCCTTTGTAGGAAACAAAACAACCCTAGTTTAACTTTGTGCATTCATTTTCAAATTACTAGCTATTTGTTTTAAACAATTCTACTGAAATTTAAAGTCTTTCTCTGGCTCATGATTAATGCCAAATCATATTCCCTAGCTCAGACTGCTATCCTACAAACTTAACTTGGAGTAACTCCTATTGAACTCTGTGAACCCACTTACTTTTGAGTAAAGGGGCTGGCAATGCAGCTCTGCCACATGCAGATCTGCATTTACAACCATTTTTCACAGAAGGCCAATGGGAGTGGTTAGATTTTCCACCCTGTTACATATTCATCATTTTCTGAGTTCTACAAACACTCCATCCTACGCAGTTGATGTAGAAATGGTCAGCCAGCCATTTTCAGTCTATCCCCTCCTCAGACTGACCTTCCAGGAAAATATAGCTCCTGTTCTGGGATCTAGCCTAACACGTTTGCAGAGATAAGAGCTGCAATAAGCAGCAGCTAAATAAAAACAAACTGTGTTTTACAAATTGTTAGGAGTCATTCTGCAAAGAAACAGAAAAGATGATTGTAACTTTAAGAACTGTTTCTGTGAGTTCTAGGTGTGAGTTCTGGGCTGATAAGATACAACTGGTGATGAGTACAAAAGGAGAAGTTATTTTACACCTGTCTCATGGTTCTGTCGTCCGCTGCCAGGAAGATACAGCTCCAACACAAATGTCATACAACTATATAAACTTTGAGCCAAAGTAAGGCATATAGAACCATACAAGAACAAATTTATTACAGCAATTATATTAAAGAGTTCATGTACCAATTGGTTGTCTTTTATGTATATTCTCTGTCTAAAAACTGAAAGAAAAACTCTATTATTCATGCAACAGTACCAGTCAGATCCCCCAAGAGGGTTCTCCAAGGATCACAAGCATACAAAGCATTCATCCTGCACAAAGAAGTCTTGTTTAAAGAGGGTTTTTTCCATCTGAGATATACTAAATAATGAAGGTCGTCCTACATATTATTAATTTTTAATGTCACTCCAGTATTTATGGTGGGTTGTATCCAATGCATCCTTCCATTCACGGAAGACTCTTTGATTTAGTGGAGGCTAACAAGAGTGGGAAGGAGGCAAAGCAGTTTGTGTATCCATAGCAGTGACCAGAGGAGGAATGAGCTCTGGGAAGAGCACAGAGAGAAGAAAACACCATGGTGCATCTGCAGCAGCACAACTGGATGCCTCCATCTGCTCCAACTGCAACAAAACATCTCTCTCCCATATTGGCCCCAAAGCCACAGTAAATGTATAATGGCATAAGTTAAACCCATGAAATGTCCTCCACAAAGGCAAATATTTATAGAGAATTTACAGATGATTTTTCTCTTCTTTTTAACCTGACATACCAAAGTGCCATGAAATACAGTGGGCTGTGACATTTCCCAGCAAAGCTAAACCTATATGTGAAAAGAATGCAGCTGTGAATTGATAACCTGGGACTGTAAGTGACTCAATTTGATTTTGAGTACTGAAATTAATGGGCCTAATTTAGTCATTACAGTGGATCTCCTCCGAGTAAAACTTGGTCGATTGCCACCCTTGGTTTTGCTCTTGTATTTTAATTCAGAAAATACACTAAATTAGTGTACAGAAGAAGCTTCAGAACATGGTTCTAGCTATTAACAGGAGGTTTTCATTTCAGTGCCTGTCTTCATTGTGTTTTGCAGAAAGCTGCTGTGAAAGAAGAGCCAAATTATTTTCAGCTCAAAGAGCTTTTCTTGAATCTTTCACTAACATCTCATTACCCATCCCAAGAGAATGCGGATCATAGTCAAGAGTTTGTTTTGGTTTTTTAAATACCTTCATTAGCTTTGTTACTTTTAAGTTTCCTTTTGCAAGATGACCTTAAAGGTCTCATAAGCCTTCAATTCTTAAGTCAAGCACTCCAGAAATTAACAACCATGGAGAACGCCACACAGAATTGGAGATTAACAGACAAACCATGATCACTATTCATTGAGTAGGAGTTAATCCAACAGTTTCAAAACAACAAGAGCAGCTGTTCTGAATCAATTATTATAGATGAGGTCTTATGGTAATTAGTCAAGAAGACTGTTTAAGGCTAATATTGAAGCTCCAAAATTTAAAAACAGGTTTGGGGAGATGTTAAGAAAATAAGAAGTATTTTAGCTTCAGTGGGGATGTTTCATGTGAGTGCATATCTATTAATATGTGGTGTAGCCAGTGTGGTGTAGTGGTTAAGAGCGGTAGTCTCGTAATCTGGGGAACCGGGTTCGCGTCTCCGCTCCTTCACATGCAGCTGCTGGGTGACTTTGGGCCAGTCACACTTCTTTGAAGTCTTTGAAGTCTCTCAGCCCCACTCACCTCACAGAGTGTTTGTTGTGGGGGAGGAAGGGAAAGGAGAATGTTAGCCGCTTTGAGACTCCTTAAAGGGAGTGAAAGGCAGGATATCAAATCCAAACTCCCCTTCTTCTTCTTCTACTGTTGATATGTGCCACAAAAAACTAAATCTTCGAAAACCATGTTACTGAATTTTTAAGTATGGGGGGCGGACAGTTTCATAATCATTTAATCATTTAATATTTTTAATCAGCTACAGTTAAAGATTAAATGTTAAGAGAAGTCTGAGGCATCACAACTGGCTGTATCCTTTACTTACTAAGGCAAAAAAAAAATCAACAAGCTGTTGTCAGCAAGTAAGAGTCTCTTGCAGCATCTTAAAGTCTAGGAAACCTATTAAAGTATAAACTTCTGCTGTAATAAATTTGATAGTCTTAAAGGTTTCACAAAACTTTAACTGTAGCTTGCCCCTTGTTTTTACTGCAGCAGACTAGCACAGCTTCCCCTCTGGAAGCTGTCACAGGAAGGATTTAGCACTTCAATTATGGAATGGCACCATCTAGTGGCTGTTCTGCATATAAATGGTAATACTACTGAAAACAATTGAAGCCTTAACAACAACAACAAAAAAGATGTAACACACTCCAATGAGTTGTACTAATCATTACTCTAAGGGAACAAAACAGGAGCCTTGTAGCACCTTAAAGAGAAAAAATATGTTTGTTAAGCTGTTGCAAGCCTCATTTTTGTGTGTGCTATTAAAAGACTCACAATCCCTCTGGAATTATTCTAAAGACAGCTGAAATCAGAGGTAATGGGAGGAAGTCTTATTTTGTAGAGAATATATCCCCACCACCACACAACTAACAAACATGTATGCAGTAAGTTCAAAAACAAAACAAGATTATCATAGACCTCATAATTCTTAAGCTTTTGTAGTATACTACTACTCCATTTGCAACACCTGTCAATACTGATCCCATTTTAGCCATAAATCTGATTGGTGAAACTGCCAATAATCTGAAGAGAGTCTTTTTAGACTTCTGCTTTTTTCAGTATTGGCTCATAAAAAGTACAAAGAAGTCAGAACAATATCAAAACTAATTTGAAACACTTGTGGAACAGTCTTCTCCCACCATACTCTCCAAAACCCAAGTCACAGCATCAAATGAAAGCAGTACAAGACTTTTAAATATTTCACTTGGCTTAAGAACGTTAAGAGCAGCATTCCTGGATCAGACCAAAGACCCATTCAGTCCAACATTCTGTTCCCACAGTGGCCAAACAGATGCCTAAGGGAAACCCGCAAGCAGGACAAGAGCACAATAGCCTCCTTCAACTCGTGATCCCCAGAAACCTGCATTCAGAGATATGCTGAAAACAGTAAACTGCCATCATGATTAGTAACTAGATAGCCTTATCTTGCATGTGTTGGCTTTTGGTGATCAGAGATAGAGTGGCACAAGGATCCTGATTTTATATGTATATTTCTTTTTAAAATGTTTCTAATATCTTACCACACACCAGTGATTTCAAGATGTGGTACTAAGGAGGAAGGGGTATATACTACCAGTACTGCTCTCTTTTTCAGAAAGCCTGCCTCCTAGATGGAGCAGAGAGCACAAGAGTACAAGACCACTGACTTCCAACAAGTAGGGCAACAGTGCATTACTGTATTGACATCTGACTCAGTTCTATCAATTAGCTTGAGTTTCCCTGTTATTCTTCCATTGTTCTCTTATAGTAGTGGTGGGTTTGGCTTAACATTCATTAATGTAATAATAGTTCTGGCAAGTTATATTAGTTGCATATTTCTTGTACAGCTAAGCTAATAAGTCTTACAAGGAAATTCAGTACAATTAAGAAGGAACAAAGCCACTGACCCATCTAAGCACATTTAAGCAGCTTTATAAAAAAACTATCATGAACATGTTTTGTCATGATTAGACAAAATACCTTCTGAATGTTTCTAATTTAACAATATATTAAGAATTTCAACATATCCTTCTAGAACCCATCAAAGCAACATATTTTTTTTAAAAAAAGCAGAGGGTCCCCTACTTGAAAGTTTAACCTACTTTGCTTAATACAACTGCATCTATAACTCACTATAGCTCTTTGACAGGCTTCACTGCACAGTTCTGTGACCTGGCTAAGAGCATCTACATTTTAGTACTGCTAAGCACTTTCAATTGTTACAAGTAAGATGGTCACTGCTCAGCATCTCTATGAACAAGGGTTTGCTCTCTATTATCAAAAGGTAAAAGCAGCACAAATGAGTGTAATGAAATGTCAGTAAGAGAAAAGCTAAAAACTCACTCACTGTCTTCTGTGGGAAGGACCTGCAGGGAATAAATCCATTCTATTATATCTTCTTTGTTCACCACATCTAAGGAATCCAACATATCCAGACCGGAGAGTGCAAAAAAAGCAATTGTCAACCTGCGAGGGAAGAAAAGCAGGATATTACTACCCGCCATCGATATAAAATGGTTTGTAAGCATGAGAAGTCGTACTTCTAAGCCACAAAGAAGTACCTGTGTTATGTGTCAGCTCCAGCATGAACTGAAAACAGACATGAGTGCTGCAACCTGACAATATGCTGCAGGGAGCTGGCTTACATGTAACTCTGCAGGCAGAAAGCCACGCTGCTGTCAGGCTTCACTAACCAACTCCACCTGGAGTGAGGGAGTGAAAAACCGATACCAACAAGTCTCTCCGACTGATGAAGCAGACCACACATAAATGCAGAATAACAACATGTTCAAGAAGCTATAAAATGACTGGCTCATTAGCATCAAAATCAGGAAAGAAAAATGTCTTCAGCACCAAGAGCCATGGAAGAAAAATGCAATCTGACAGGTAACAAACACAAATCAGACACATTTTGGTGCTAGAAATTACGCAGATAAAAAGGTGGTGCAGGTGTCCCTACAATGTGGCTCCATACAGTTGCGTGTGAACAATGCAAACCGTAGACCATCTTAACTGTGAGCCCTGCAAGACCTGCCTTGAGGGCCTATTCCCACCTGGCCTGGGACAGTAATGCAATGACTGATTCCAGCTACAAAAACTGTTACTATTGAAAGCGATGCAAACCATCTTGTTTTGAGTCCAGAAAAACATGATGATCATGATGCCTAAAACTATCAGGATGCAGTGCTGTTTAAGGACTTGGGTTGGGATGAAGATTTAATTTTGGAGCCCTGTTATTATTGTTGTTACTAGGATAATATTTTTGCATTTTATTGTTAGACCTTATTCTGAATCGTAAGGAGACTGATTTTGTTGCATACAATCAACTTGCAACTTGAATGATCACAGCTTTATGTTTGGCTGGCCAACTGCAATTGCACAAATTAAACACACACAAGGTGGAGAGGTTAGATGCAGAAAGAGCTATTAAGCTCTCATACTTGGTTACCAGGTTCTGGGAAGCTCCAGCAAGAGAGCCTGGTAAGCAAGGAGGAGAGCTTAAAAGCAAGAAAACTTGGCATGGAAAGAGCTTTAAAACTCGCTGAAAGCACCTCCAGAGCCTTTGGAAAGGTAGAGGTGGACACACAAGGACAGTTCTTGGGTTGTTCTTATATTGTAAGATTTTGGCTTTACACACAATCCCTAAAACCACAGCACAAGTTGCGAGTCAACTGTATTTCTTAATGAGTTGTACATTCAACATTTAGACCACTTAGAACAAGGGTGGGAACCTTTTGAACCCAAGGGCCACTATCCAGGGAACACATAAAAGTGACAGGCAGGTCCAGAGGCAAAAGTGGACAAAGAAAGGACGTGGCTTATGTTTGTATAGTAGGTTACATTCCAGCAACACAAATGTCAGAGGCGTTTATGCACACACTCATGAAACATTGGTGGGTAGGAGTATGGCACAGAGTGTGCCAAGAGCCAGCCGAAGAGGCCTGAATGGCTGCATTGGAACCTAGGTCTCAGGTTCTTGACATGACGTAGAATTTTTTTTATTGTTTTAAAGAAATCATTGATTTTTATCCATCCTGAGATAAAACAATAAATAGTAATCTTAAAACACAGAGCTGCTCACTACTGGTACAATAAAAAAATCATAAATACCCGAGAAAACAACTAGGTTTCAACTTTGCAATAGAACAAGGGGAAAGTTGGTGCTTGGTGCACCTCCAAAAGGAGAACATTCCATAATTGACTTTATCTTTAATTCTCAAACGTCTTTTGTTTTAATAGTATACCTATCTGACACAGTTCCACACAAACTACTTTAAGAGTATATTTATCTTTCAAAATTGCTGCCCAGAACATATTCTGTCAGATTTTTGCCAAGTAAGTCAAAATTAAATCTAATAAAACACCCAGGAAGTTCACCTAGTAATTTCCTAGTACAATGAGTAGTGAACAGTGTGGATGGGGCTGCATTGCCAATCTGTCTTTCCAACACTGTGCATAGCAGTGAAGGGGAAGGGGAAGGTAGGGAAGGGAAGGGAAGGGAAGGGGAAGGAGAAAGGCAGTGGGAGTTTGGCACATGTGCAGCAGCAGAGCCAATGTGATGCTCCCACTACTGCACACCATGCTGTGTCCAATGTGTGGTGTTGGAAAAGCAATGCAGCTTCACCCGCACCACCTGCTACTGAGTTTGACAATACCCCTACAGAGGTGTTGCAGTACATCAGAGCTTTCCAAAATGTGTGTTGCAACACACTAGTGCGTCAGCTGCAGTGTGTAGGTGTGTCGCACAAATGCTCCCCGTGCTCCTCCCAGGGCTGAAAAGGGGATAGTTCAGCCAAGCAAAGGTTTGCTAGTAAAACTGAATTGCTGTGTCGCAAATGATGCACGTCTAAAAAGTGTCACCAACTTGAAAAGTTTGGACAGCTCTGCAATACACTCTTGGATTCACGTGACATCAGTTTTCTCTACAAACAGAGGTGTCATCTAATTACATTTTGGTGGCACATAATAGTTACCAGACACAGACCAGTAGCAATTCAAGTTATTAATGATTTGGTCAGACAAGAGTCCTTATAATTAAGCATAATGTACACTTTGCTTTGCAGTCTTAGTTACAATGCTTTTATTCACCTCTAACTGGGTTCTGCAACAACCTCCAGGTCTGCTACACCCATTGTTACTTGTAACCTGTTTTGCTTTTCACAGATCACAGACTACTAACTAATCACACTGCTTGCAGCATTATTGAGAGCCATGGTATAATTAAGTGCACAGATTACCTGCATAGCTATTAGAACAGGTTCTTTAATAGGTGGCTCCATATACTGGAGAACATATTAAAGGAAAAAATGCTGCTGCCCTGAGGAGGATTCTCCTAAATCTAATATTCAGTGGGTCAGCATTCCCCAATCATTGGTAGAAAAGCTGCAACATAGAAAGTAAACATTTTTTCTCCTTGCTCTTTCATAGTACAGTCATACCTCGGAAGTCGAACAGAATCCATTCCGGAAGTCCATTCGACTTCAAAATGTTCAGAACCAAGGTGTGGCTTCCGACTGACTGCAGGAAGCTCCTGCGGCCAATCGGAAGCTACGACGAACATTCAGGTTCCAAAGAACATTCGCAAACCGGAATAACAACTTCCGCGTTTGCGACGTTCGGGAGCCAAAATATTTGTCTCGCAAGGCGTTTGACTTCTGAGGTACAACTGTACCGTTTACAAAAATATTAAGTGAGGGGTCTCATTCCCATTAGCTAACTAAACAAATTCCTCCTGTTAGAAAATAATTTCTACTTAAGTAATTGATTTCTTTTAAACTGACCAGTAGGGGGGAAATGAACTATTTCCTAAATGGTGATTTCATTCCTAAAGAGAAATCAGGTTTCAAACTGAATTTGCTTCTTGCTGACCAAATTCAACATCCTCTTTTTTTCTAAGGGGTTTTATTTCTCCTCCAACTCTTTGAGCTTTTTTTCATACATCATAAAGATGACTTTAATATTCAAGTTCTAAACTCTTAGCAGCTCTCTGCAATGTTTGCATTGCTCTCCAGCAAACTACCCAACTGGGGATTTCTACAGATTGCAGACCAGAAAGAGAACCACTCATAAAGGATTCTTCTAAATAAATTTTAAAATATTTTTGTCACCACAGCTCTTGTCACTTCTAGAAATTTTTCTAGCAAATTGTTTCCCCTCCTTCCAAATTTCCAGACCTTCATGTTCCAAGAGCAATTCTGAAGCTGTTTCCAATCCTATGGATGTTTACTCAAAAGCAAATATCACTGCTTTCAATAGGGCTTGATCCCAAGTATGCATAAGACTACACTTATATAAGTTCAACAGTCTTACAGTAGGATAATAGCCCTTCTATTTAAATGGGGTTGAGGTTTTTTTTCGTTTCTAACACTTCAAAAAAACTGTCCCAGTTTGACTGAGTTTCTTAGACATAAACATGATGTTAAATATGTTCGGCATATAATCTAAGTCACATTCTGAGGGTACAAGGAGTGGGGCTGTGGTGTGCAGTATGTGTAGGCCCTGTTGGAATTTATACGCCTGCCTACCTGATTGCTTTACCAAAGCAACACTTAAGGTAGGGCATAAAGTAAAAATCTGGTTGGTCATCGTTGCCGTAAGAAAATGAGTTGAGTTCAAGAGAATAACTGAAGAAAAGAACCATTGCTCATATTTAAAAGCAACCAAGCTAAAGTGCTCTTTTTACTTGCCGTAACCTTATTGGTGAATAGATTCTGGCAGGTAGCCGTGTTGGTCTGATGCAGTCGAAATTTAAAAAAAAATGTCCAGTGGCACCTTAGAGAACAACTAAGTTTGTTCTGGGTATAAGCTTTCATGTGCATATGAAAGCTTATACCCAGAACAAACTTAGTTGGTCTCTAAGGTGCTACTGGACAATTTTTTTACTTATTGGTTAAGTAGGAGTAGTTGTAGCTGCCAGAATCTCCTCCAGCACCAACTGGACCACTGGTTCCCAAAGTGGGTGGTATCACCCCCTGAGCGGGGAACAAGAGACTATTAGACTTTTAAAAGCTTTGATGAACTGGATCAAGTTGATAAGTTTTGTTCAGTTAAAACTATTTAGCTTAATTCGATTTTGAATACTGTAATTGTTACTATTTTGAATTTTACTGTGTTACTACTTTCCCTAGTAGGTTGTGCAAACCACTATTCTGAATAATGCTTTTTATAGAGTAGGGGGCACTGGGGAACCAAGTTTATGGAACCAAGAGGGCAGTGGCCCAAAAAAGTTTGGAAACAACTGAACTAAACTGAAAGTTGGGTCAGGAAGCGGTAATAGAGAAGATAGAAGAGGAAGAAACTGAGAAGATCCTGGTGAAGCCAATAAAGGAAAATATTTGCATTTGAGCTGTACTAAAATTATTTCTCTTTGCATAAAGGAGGTGTTGCTCCCAACTGAGACCAAGGCTCTGAAAGAGGGTTCAACTTGTATTCCAAAACAAGTTGTATTGTATGAAGGAGCGCTCAACTTGTATTCCAAAACAAGCTCAACTTGTACTCCAAAACAAGTTGAGCTGTGATAATCATCTTAGCTGGCACATCTGGGAACAAGTTTCTCCTTTTCACATTCTTTCTGTACCTCCTTCCTGTTTTTGTTCATCTTACAAGAAAGCAGAACAGAAACAGACCTCACCATGTCATGTTTAGCCAAGGCTTAACGCTTGTTAAGACTCAGCACCAAAGCCGGGTGTTCAGCCACTAGGTTTAAGCACATGAATTTAGTGGGCTTTTAAGAGAAAGCGTTCCTCACCTCTTCACCAGTGCTCTGATCTGAAAAGCTAGGGTAGAGTCAGTTTATATTTTATGCTGTGAACCACCCTGAGATCTTTGGATGAAGAGCGGTATAGAAAATGAATGAATGAATGAATGCATACATACATACATACCAAACTCTACCTTTTACCAATTGGGTTGAAGCTTAACATGAGCAAGAGTACCCAAAGAGCATACACAGAGTTCCCCTCAGTTTTGAGCTATACCACAACCAACATGGATTTTTTTTTTGGGGGGGGGTCCGAGAGTTGGACGGGGTTAGGAAAGCAGAAAATCAGATTTAGAAATTAAACCTTGGGCAAGTCCAGAGGTCCGGGGGCTGCCGGAACCGTTGCGCTCCCTGACACTGTGGGGAAAACCTCCGAGGGCTATTCTACGCGAGAATGAACGTGAGGAAGAGACCCGCCACGGGATGCCCAGCCGCCGTCGGCAGGCGCTTGTCCTTCTCCCACCTCCGCGAGGGCTACCTGCTGGTCTCCAGGGACGAATAGCGCTCGGGCAGGATCTGCAGGCAGCGCTGGAAGAACCGCACGTGCCGCTCCTTCAGGAAATCCAGCCGCTCTCCGTCCCCGAAGCCCCCGTCCTCCTCCGACGCCGCCATGTTGGCCAACCGCTCCCTAACCCCGCGCGCGCGCAGCGTCGGTCACCGCCGGCAGCGGCACGCGGGTCACGTGGGGCGGCGGAGGCGCGGCGCTAATTGGGGGCGGCGGAAGCCGCTCCGGAGGGAGGAGGGAGCGCGAGCACGCCCCGCGTGCGGCTAAAGGGGCGGGGCCAGCCGGCATGGGCGCCAATCAGAGGCGAGCTCAGAAAACTGGCCGTCGTTTAAATAGGAAGCGCGTCGATGGGTTGGGGAGCATTGACGTGAGCATTCCACGTTTTCTTGTATAGGCGCTTGAGAGTTACTAGTCTTCCAAAACAAACGCCTTTTAAAAAGAAGAAAATGTTGGTGCCGGAGTGGTAAAAAACAAACAAACAAAAACCCCTGACCTCCATACAGAGCTGCTCCACACAATGGCGACAGCCATAGCTGTCAACTTACAGATTTGAAAATAAGGGACCAGCAGCCAAAATAAGGGATTTTGGCTTGGCTTAGCTTATCCAGAAATCCGGCACTCCTGGAGCCATGCTGCCTTGGCTGCCACTGACTGTGTTTTGCAGGGGGTTGGACTAGATGATCCTAAGGGTCTACAACTACCACCAAAAAAGAGTGGCAGACAAAACTGATGAAGGACGTCAAGATGGCAAAGCTTACAGGCAGAATTAGAAACCAGGAAGAGGACCACTTTAATAAAGCTATTGTAAAGAGTTACATGTTGTTGTTGTTGTTTAGTTGTTTAGTCGTGTCCGACTCTTTGTGACCCCATGGACCAGAGCATGCCAGGCACTCCTGTCTTCCACTGCCTCCCGCAGTTTGGTCAGACTCATGCTGGTAGCTTCGAGAACACTGTCCAACCATCTCATCCTCTGTCGTCCCCTTCTCCTTGTGCCCTCCATCTTTCCCAACATCAGGGTCTTTTCCAGGGGTCTTCTCTTCTCATGAGGTGGCCAAAGTATTGGAGTCTCAGCTTCAGGATCTGTCCTTCCAGTGAGCACTCAGGACTGATTTCCTTCAGAATGGATAGGTTTGATCTTCTTGCAGTCCATGGGACTCTCAAGAGTCTCCTCCAGCACCATAATTCAAAAGCATCAATTCTTCAGCGATCAGGATTGACAGAAAGCTTGTCGTAAAAATTTGAACTATGAATGGACAAATGATTTATAAAAAGAGAATTATGAAAGGGATGCAGAGGGGGAAATCACTACATTAAGATGTTGCACTGGTTGGAGGGTATGCTAAGCAGCACGTCGGGGCTGCTGTTGTCCTGGCGCGAGGAGTTCCATCGGCCCTTCTCCGCCCGAGAGGGAGGGAGGGAGGGACACTCTCGCCCACGCCGCCCGCGAGCCCGGCATGAGGCGGTTGCAGCACCGCCGCGGCCACTGAAGAGCCGCCCTTCTACATCCCTCCCCATCCCCACACTTCCTCCTCCCTCAGGCCGTCTCCTCAGCCGCCGCTGCTGCCGCTGCCACCTCTGGCTTCCCCTGGCAGCGTGGCGGAAGTCTCACAAGAGAGGGGCTGCCTGCCCGCCGCCACCTGTCTCCTCACGACGCGCCCAAGGGGGAAAAGGGAGAGACGGAGACGCAGCAGCTCATGCGCGCGCGCGCTCTCGTGGCGGAGGACTCCGAGCCGCTGCTTCCCTCCCAAGCTGGGTGAGCATGAAACCCGGGAAATTTAAGGGACATCATCAGTCCGGGACAGCAGCGGGAAACAGCGCTGGGATAAGGGAGTTTCCCACCAAATAAGGGACGGTTGACAGCTATGGCAACAGCTGTAATGCCATGCTTTTTAATACTCATTTTATTCCATCACTGCAGTGACAATCATGGCTCGAACCCAACATCCAGATTAGCTTTCTGAGCAGAAATGATCTTCTTTGAAGGATTCCCTCAATCTTTTTTTTTATTATTCAACTGCAAGATTTATTGCACAATGTGAGGGTGTCCACGGCTAAAAAGACTGCAAAGTAGTCACAACAGCAGCATTTTACAGTTTGTAAGTTGTTGAGAAAGGCAGTCCTTCCCGTCAGGCTTACAATATAAAAAGACGACACAAAAGGAAAGTGGATGTGGTGGGAGAAGGAAACAAGCAAGCCCGGTTTCAAGTTCTTAGTTACAAGTTGTTTTAATAACCACCTTAAATGGAAAAGTGCTGACAGGAAGCACCAAAAGTTGCTAATATCGCTCCCACATAGCAGCTGCCATGTGACAGTTGATGGAGGGAGGAGTCTGGTGCCTTAAGGACATAAGGGTGCTGTTGAATCAGGTCAAAGGCCCATCTAGTCCTCCATCTTTTCAGTGTCCAGCCAGATGCCTCTAATGCCACAATCAGGACCTGAATGCAACAGTGCTTTTCCCACTCATGATTCCCAGCAACCGGTATTCAGAGGTACTCTAAGTTTATATCCTGCCCTTCTTCCCAAAGGAGCCCAGGGCCCACACTCCATTAATTTCTCTATAAACATATTTTATAGAGAGCCATCCAAGTAGGTGGCCATCACTATTTCTTGTGGGAGTAAATTCCATAGTCTTAACTGTATGTTGTGTCCCCGTCCTGAGCCTTCCAACATTTAACTTCATTAAATAACTCCCAAGTTTTATGAGAAAGGGAGAAAAACTTTCTATTTATTTTCTCAACATCAGGCATAATTGTTTATACCTCCACCATACACGTACCCAACTTTTCGCTAACTTAAAAAGCCCCAGATGTTGTTTCCTTATTGCGGAGTTGCTCTAGGGCCTTTTATCATTTTGGTTGTCCTTTTCAGAACCTTTTCCAGTTCTACAATATTATTTCAATAAAATATAATAAATAATAATAATAATAATAAATTAATTAATTAATAAAGTTTGCTTGCTTGCTTGCTTGCTGGCGTGCCATCTGACTGGGTCTCCCCAGCCACTCTGGGTGGCTCCCAACAAAAAGTAGTAAAAACACAACACAACATCACATACTAAAAACTTCCTTGACTCTGGAAGAATGGCAGATGAAGGTGATGGACTACATGGAATTGGCGGAAATGACTGGCAGAATCCGAGACCAGGGAGAAGAGTCGGTGGAAGAAGATTGGAAGAAATTTAAAGACTATTTACAGAAATATTGCAAAATTAATGAATGTTAGAAAGATGTTGGAATGAAGCTAGGTGGTTTAAGCAGTAATGCTATAAAGGTGTATGTAAAATAGGATTGATAACAGATGAAAATTTAAAGTTATAGTATATTAAGTTAAAGGATCATGAGAAAACAAAGAGGGAAAGAAATTGCTGACTTAACTAATTGAACTGGAATACAAAAAAGGGAGGTATGAGGAGGTCAGGGAAACAAGGATATGAATAGAAGGTATGGAAAGATTGATCCATTTTTCTTTTTCTTTTTCTTTCTTTTTAAGTGTCTTTTATTCTTTTTTCTGTATTTTGTATTTTGTATTTTTCTTGTATTTTTACTTTTTGTTTTTGTGTAATTCTTTTATTCTCTGAAATTTTAATAAATATCATTTAAAAAAAACAAAAAAACTTCCTTGAACAGGGCTGCCTTCAGATGTCTTTTAAAAGGTGAGGTGACCAGAACTGAGTTGTTGCACCATAGATTTATATAACAGCATGATGATATTGGCAGTTTTATTTTAAATTCCTTTCCTAATAATTCCAAGCATGGAATCTGCCTTCTTCATAGCTGCCGCATACTGGGTTGACATTTTAATCGAGCTTTTCACTTTGACCCAACTGTCTGATTCCAGGACAGTCATTGCTGGTTCAGACCGCATGAGTGTATATGTGAATCTAATTATTATTCTTTGCTCCAATGTGCATCAATTTATACTTACTTCCAATGAACTGCATTTGCAATTTTACAGCCCATTCACTCAATTTGGAGATATCCTTTTAGAGTTGCCCTTTCTTTTAATTTCCTTGAACAATCTGATTATTAGCAGCAAACCTGGATAGGTGTTTGCTTGACAACCATGTACAACATCTGGGGTTCCATGTTGAAAGGAATTCAATACATAAATGTAAGATAATAAGTAAAATAGTATGGGACAAATTTGACTTATCAACTCAATAACCCAGCAAAAAAGAATTTATAATGTAATTAAATTTATTATAAAACAATGCATTCATTTATAGTCACATGCCTAGAACTAAATTGCTAAATACAGATTCAAGGGGGGAAATAAGAAAATTCAAATAAAGTAAGAAACAGCGCATTTTTACACATTTTACTAGTAATTTTTGGTGTAATCTACATAAGGATGTTAAATAAAAGATAAAATATACATGACATAGAATGCAAATTTACATAAATTCATACCCTATATAAAACATACATCATTTATTACATAATAAAGTCTTACAAAAACAATAACAGGAATAGGAAAACAATTATTCAGGAAATTTATACATGCTTTGCTTATCTTCTAATAAAACTGTGCAGCCAACCAACTATTGTCCTTGTCGCCAGCTTGGGACAGCCCTGTAAAAATAAAGATGGGTAAACATTCTGGGATGAATTACATTAAAACATACAAATAGCTTTTGTTTCCTTACCTGTGCGGAATATGCAGAAGTGGCCCGGAACCTTCTGGTCCAATCTCTTTCGTTCGTTCTTCCCAAACTTTTGTAGGCTTCAACAGCCTACGTGGGTCTCGAGGTACATTCATTCCAACCTGTTGACAGTGAAAACTTTAAAAATCATCCTAAAAGGCAACTGCAAACAGTAGCTATTATGTAGAAGCCAAAATGCAGCCGTCCGTTGTTGTTGTTTTACCTTGGACTCACTTTGTGATTAAAACAAATATTTAATGTGAGTTCTAACAAAAATGGAACTGAAGAAGAATCAGCATTTTCAAGGGGGAACCCCTAAGGTTTTCAGTTAAAAATAAAAAATTCTAAGGGGAGAATCCTCCCTGAGTCAGATCAGGGCCATCAAGGTAGGCAAAGCTTTAAAGTTCTCCACTCTCTACAGCAGATCAGACCACCAATGCCTCCTGACTATACTACCAAAAATGATCCATTCATTCCTTTTTCAGCAATGCAAACTACAGGTATCAAGGGTTTAATATGGTTTAGGATCATTGCTGGAAGAGGCGTGTCAAGGTCCCCAATACCTCGTCCTGATCCAAGTTCAGCTCTCAGCTGCTGCAATTTGCATGTGGTGGTGTATGGATGGGAAATTTCGAATGGAGTCAATGGGAGGAGGGAATGGGTGGTGTGTGAAATGGGGTGTTAGTGTGAACAAATGGATTATGATGAGCTGCATGACAAATTCATGTATTACCTTCTCTCTCAACTTTTCTCTCAATCTTCTTTCTTTTTCTATTTTTTCGTCTTCCTTTGCCTGTTTTTCTTGAATCTTAAACACAACTTTAGATAAATCCTGAATAAAATACAGCGAAAGAATAAAATACAGTGGGAAAAAATCTCTTTAGAATTAATAGTACTAATTTTCAAGCAAAACAAAGCATCTTCTTATGCAACAGTGTTTAAATAACCAAGATCAACCAACTCTTTTTGGGAGCAACGTTCAGTGAAAGTTAGTACACAAAGCCCTCTGCTAAGTTAACCTTACAAATAATCAGGGTGGGAGTTCACCCCCCCCCCATCCTTCATACCCTTGCCTGACCTTTCCCACTTTTGCACTATTTATTCCCCAGAGGACACAGGGAGGGAGTTATTTTCATTTATAGAAACTTCCCTCCCCAAGTCCTAGAAGATCATGAATGTCAAGCTGCCATTAAGCACTGTGCTTTCTCCACATCCTCAATGGGTCACTGTTCCCTTCCAGGCTTAACTCTGCGCGCTGGTGCACATCTTTTGGGATCTGCATGGTTGTATCTGCTCAATTAATCTGCATACATTATGATATCTACTCTAGAGACTCTTTTCCAGACGTCACAGGCTTTGGAAGTAAGGCAGGCAGAGACAGGGGTTCCTTTTTGGGGGTGGAATCTGAGTTGCAGAATGTTCTCCCCGCAGGAAGGCTTGCCTGGCACCCACTTTGTCCTCATTTTAGCACTAGTCAAACAAGCTTTTATTTTTCCACTCTTTTAAACATACCCAACTTTTAGAGGTTTTAGTTATTTTATGCAGCGACCTTTATCTTAGAATATCTTGGTTTTTGTAATGTTTATTTACTTAAAACTATTTCTATTCCCTCTTCAACCAACAAGGCTCCCGGGGCGGCTTACATTAATTAGATCAGTAAGAACAAGAACATACTATTAAGAGAGTAAAACATGCTATTAGAAGAGGTGGCTGTTATGAACCATTTTTAGCTCCCCTGCTGCAGGGCAGTTGGTTCTTGTGCAAAGTGCACCACCTACTTTGGAACTCTGTACCTACTGACGTCAGGCAGGCATCTTCACTGACTCTTTTTAGCAGCCGCTTAAAACATTTTTGTTTCAGTGAGCCTATCCAGACATGTAGAAGTTACATGTGTTTTATTTCTTTTAGGTACTGTTGATTTTAACAATCTTTTAAGTATTTTAAACAACTGTTTTTAATGATAATTTTATTTATTTTATACTTCTGTAAACCACTTAGAGGCATACTTACAAGCAAATGGTATGTAAACTTTCTGACACAAACCAACCAACCAACCAACCAACCATGAGGTCTCTTTGAGGGGTGAGGGGGCAAGACTCAGCCAGTTTAACAACAGCAGGAGTAGGATACACATTTGCCTTGCCTGAATCCAATTCTTAGCTTCCCCAAGAAAAATACTCACTTTTCTTTTACTGTTTTGTAACTGCCCAATAAGTGTCAATTATCTGAAGGGTGACAAATACATTTCAGAGATAAAATACAGAAATATTCTCTTTCTCCAACCCACATCAAGGGGAGAGGGAAATATCAGCCAGCACTGTCATCTTGGGAAACCCAGCCAGATGGGCAGGGTATAAGTAATATCTATCTATCTATCTATCTATCTATCTATCTATTTCTGCTACTACTACTACTACCACCTCTCTAACAGAGAAAGTACAGATAACAAACTGGCCACAGTATACTTGCATTTCTTTCTCTCCATTTCCCACTCCTGCAGAGAGAGAGGGCCAATTGGGGCACATATTTCCAATGCAAAGCTTTGGAATTATTTGTCTCACCCATTGCTTTTCTCTCTGCCCACTTGAAGAACGTTGCCCGGGGAGGAGGAAGGAACCCAGCATGCAGCCTTGAAGGTGGAGGGTGTATGCTTTGGAAACCGCACATGTAGCTAGTCCTTCTCCCTTTTCCGGGAGGAGGAGACATGCAGCTCCAAGTATTGGTTCCAGTGTTATACAGCAATTGAACGCTCACACGTTTGTCTCAATTCTTATTCACCCTGGGCAAAGAGATACCTGGGCAAAGAGATAAACCTGTAATAGTAAGCAATGGGACTTGTTGCTGCACCACAGACAGCACCAATTAAATGCAGGTGTAAAGATCAACATGTATTGCTAAGAAACTTGTCGTGCATTTTGATACCATGTATTTTGGTATCTTTGTTCTGTTTTGCTACACAAGGAGGAATGTGAAGTAAATATGCAGGAGATCAATACTCACTCGCTCTTGGAACTTAAGAATTTCTTCTGCAGCAATTCTTCTCTTCTCTTCCCTTTCAGCTTCCTCTCTCTTTTTCTTCTCAAATCTCAAAAGCTCTTCCTCCTCCTTTTTCTGCCTACTATAGTCTTCCAACAGCAACTTTATATGACATTGCCGCTGCCGTTCCTTCTGCTTTTTCTTCTCCTTCTCTTCCTCTGCTTGTAGCTGAGCAGCCTGTTTCATTGAATATTCTATTGCTTTTTGCCTTTTCCACAATTCAAGTTCTTTCAGTCGTTTTTTCCTTTCCTCTTCAACTTTTTGCTTCTGGGCTGCTGCATGCTGTAGTATAGCTGTAGTGAGCCCTTCCTCTGGCTTCTTCTTCTTCTGGGCTAAGATTTTCTCTCTCTCTTGTAGCTTTTTTATCTTCCATTCTTGAATGGACTAGAACAGACCAATTAAAGCAGATTATATTGTCACATTAGTTCCAGCTTTCTGAGGGCTATCAAAAATGAACAATATATTTCAAAATCCTTACTATTAGAAACTCATGTCAATTAGGAACTTGGCTATTTTTCATGTAGAGTGAAAAAGTAGGTGTGGTTTCTTAACAGAATCTTATGAGATTTTCCTCAACAAACCACTTAACAATGCTTTGAACCCTCCGCATCAAATGCCAATAAAGGAAGCTTGCAATTTATGCGCATTTAACCTGTGCATATTCAGCTTTATGTGGCAAATATTTTTGAAAAAAATTAAAGGGGGTGAAAAGGAGGCGGGGTTCCAATAAAATGACTTCGGCAATCCCATCTGCCACTGAACTCAATGTAATTTTGGCTTTAGATGCAATCCCCGGAACATAACTCCTGAGTAAGTTGTGGGCTTACTGTAGTATTTACTTAACCAGTCTGTATAAAGCCTTGCCATATAAGAGGCAGTTCTGTAACCCACTTCACTGTTGTTGTCTTCTTGATTTAAACAGGGCTGCCATAATGTAGCTGGCATTGACTCATTCATGCCTTTGGCATTTAACTTAAGGCAAATTACAGGTTTTGCCCCAACTTCTTTAATGCCTAGTCCAGAGGTTTTCAACCTTTTCAACTCCACAGCTCCCTTAACCGACTACATTATTTCTGCAGCGCAGCCCCCCATGTGGGGCTCAGGAGCCCTGTGATGTTACCCCTTGCCTACAGAGCTGGCAGCCTCTCATCCTCCCTTGTGGAGTGTTCCCTCAGCCTCCTCTCCTCTCCCTTCTCCTTGTGAGTCCTCTGGGCAGTTGCAGCTGCCACCCGGGTCTCTGAGCTGCCCCTCCTGCCCCAAAGAGAGGTGCCTCCTCACACTGCCCCATAGGGACCTGGGGCTTGTCTGTCTATTCCCAACAGCAAGGGATGGCAGGCTGGCTGCCTGGGCTCCCTTAACTGCTTGCTTCCTTGCTTACTCCAAGGCCACCTCAGCTCCTGGCAACCAGCACCCCCTGGCCAGCCCCAGAGGCACCATTTGCCTGCGGAGCACATTGTAGCCTTGGCTCCTGCAACAAACAGCTGTGCAAGCCTTTGGGAGGCAGAGACAAAAGAGGGACAGAGGCCAGTGTTGCCTGTGGCACCCCTGATCATCATTCAAGGCACCCCTGGGTGCCACGGTACACTGGTTGAAAATCATTGGCCTAGTCATCGATTCTCCTATGGAAATCTGGGCCAAGCAGGCACAATTTGCAGGGAAGAACTTTGGGTGGGAGGAGGCATTTAATCCTTTTAGTTGCCACTTCCCAAATCAACATCACAATTCCACACACACACACACAAAACCCAACTATTTTCTTGCCAGCTATGGGGAAGCCCCATATTGTGGGAAAAATAAGTTTCATCTACCTACCTAAAGCTTCTCTATGGCAAACTACTCCCTTCTCATTCAAATCTGCAAAGAAGCAGCAGCAGTTGGGCTTTAACACAAGGTTCAGGCAGAATGAGTAACTCCATACTGTGACATTAACATATATGAGAGAGTGCTGGAGGGGAAATAGTTAAATAGGTTGCACAGACAGGACCCAGGGAAGTGGAGTCAGTGGGTCTATAAAACTAGTTCTGGGAGGAGTTCTGGGGGGAGTTCATTAGGAGTTGTTGGTGGGCAGTTGGTTGGTTTTAGTGGGTTGGCTGGTTGGGAAAGGCAGTTGGAAAAGGCAGTTGTGAATAGAGAGACAGTTAGGGCAGTGGGTTCTTGAGTGTGGGGAGATAAAAGAGATAGAGAGAGGAAAATAAGACTAACAAAGTAAAGAGCAACAATGTTTGGAATGCTGTAAAAGTTTTGTTTGTGTCTGAAATAAAATACACTCTTCTTTATTAATTGAAAAGCTGACTGAGACTGAAGTGATTTTACCAGGGAGGACCTGGTTGGTGGCAGCAGATTAGTGGTGTACAATAGTCCGTGAGACGACCGGGGGCTCCGTACGAACGCCACACATACTTATTCCCAAGTTACCTGCTTAGACCTATTGCCTAAATTCCACTGCAATTTAAGAGATTTCAGATTATGTTTGCCAGCACAAAATTCCAGAAAGAAAAGGTATGTACTAGTATGGCAAAAAATGCCACACCTGTATCCTAAGCTGTTCCCCACAAATTAAAAACTACCATGTAATGAAGCCTCTATGCAGTGAAAGTAATGTACAGACTGACCCTTACTTTGTAAACTGTTCAGGAAATGATCAGGATTACAATTTTGTTACCCAAAAACCTGGGCATGTAATCCTTGGACGAAACAATATTTTTAGCAATCTTTAATTTTTTTAATTGACAGAGTATCTGGGTTCTTTAAAAAAACAAACTGTTTTTATAAATAATTAAGACTAGGGTCAGTGGCCACTAGGATGAAGTGGCACATCCCTGATTGGACTGGCTCGGACGGATGTTGGGGATATGTTCGTGGAGGGCAATAGCAACTTTCATATTTCACTCAATTTCTAGAGAAGGGGCTGACGCCAAGGGGTCCTAAGGAGAGAACAGAAAAATAGAGTGGTGGTAGCTATGGAGTGGGCACTCACAACCAGAAGGTGGGGTAAGTCAAAAGAAGCTAGGAAGTGGCTTAGTGATGGCCACAGTGACTCCAGGTCAATACCAATACAGCTGGTGATTAGAGAAGCAACTAAGTGTGTGTCTAAGGCTGCAAAGTTATGCCCTCTGATAGTACAAAGCCGAGGTATTGAACAATAAAGTTTGCAAGGTGGGAGGAGTAGCCCTGTACAAAACACTATGAAGGACACGTTTTTCTCTCAAAGGCACAATACTGTTTTCTTCTGGATAAAATGACAGAATACTACCACCTACTGAATATTTAAAAAGTAGCATGTCAACCACAGAGCCTAGGACTTGCTGATCAGAAGGTTGGCGGTTCAAATCCCCGCGACAGGGTGAGCTCCCGTTGCTCGGTCCCTGCTCCTGCCAACCTAGCAGTTCGAAAGCACGTCAAAGTGCAAGTAGATAAATAGGTACCGCTCCGGTGGGAAGGTAAACGGCGTTTCCGTGCACTACTCTGGTTCGCCAGAAGCGGCTTAGTCATGCTGGCCACGTGACCCGGAAGCTGTACGCTGGCTCCCTCGGCCAATAAAGCGAGATGAGCACCGCAACCCCAGAGTCGGCCACGACTGGACCTAATGGTCAGGGATCCCTTTACCTTTAGCATGTCCTGCTTACCAGCAAAGGAAAAGAAAGCCATAGCAGCAGAGCTAGAGATGAAGAAAAGAGGGTGAACTGTCCCATTGTTTTTGACACAAAGTTGTTAAAATGGCAAACGCTAATTAGCAACATTATCTCACCTCCTTTTTTTGTGCTTCTAAAATCAGAAATTCTTGATACCATTTCTCATGCTGCAGAATATCTTCCCTTGTTCTGTCAGGAAGATGATCAAGGACTTCATCAATGTACGATGGTTTTCCTTTATGCTTTGTCCACAATTTCAAAAATTCTTGGTGATCATATACATCCCAACCTCCTTGCTTGCCCCCTGTCTGTTGAAGGAATTTATCAAGCTCAACTACTCCAGGAGGCAGGTGATTTTGTGTCTTTTTATCCACTACAAGCATGCCTTGTTTAGGCGTATTTCCTGTTGCTGAAGTACCTAATGCCCAGAGCTCAATTTTTTTCTCCAATGCATTAATCTCATTAGTAGCTGTCTTCTCCTCTCTCAGAAGCTCCTCATATCTTAAATAAAAGCATAATTAATAAACCATTAACAATTAGCAAAATAACTATCCAACAATCCTAAAGACAGTAAGATCTGGATAACTATGTGACTAGTACCAACCATGCTTGCCTGGAAAAATATGTTTGAAACTGAGTAGATTTGTAAAAGTACAGTGGTGCCTCGCAAGACGAAATTAATCCGTTCCACGAGTGTCTTCGTCTAGCGATTTTTTCGTCTTGCGAAGCAACCCTATTAGCAGCTTAATGGATTAGCGCTATTAGCGGTTTAGCGGCTATTAAAGGCTTATCGGCTTAGCGGATTAGCTGCTAAAAGGCTATTAAAGGCTTAGCGGCTTAGATAAGGGGGGGGAGCGGAAAAAAAATCTCAAGACTCGCAAAACATTTTCGTCTTGCGAAGCAAGCCCATAGGGAAATTCGTCCTGCGAAGCAACTCAAAAACGGAAAACCCTTTCGTCTAGCGGGTTTTCCGTCTTGCGAGGCATTCGTCTTGCGGGGCACCACTGTAGTTTTGGAAGGCAAGCTGATCAAAGTCAAAAATCCCACTGAGGATGCCTACATTATTGGATGTATTCAACAATTGGAGCCTGACAGTGGAAGCAAAACGTTGGAATAGTAAGTTTTCAGACAGTATTTATGCCAAAAGGTCATATAAACACTCTCTTGTCTATGTAGATGTAGGGCGGCATGCATTCCTGAAAATTGGGAAATACTGTCATCCCTGACCACTGGTCCTGTTAGCTAGGGATGATGGGAATTGTAGTCCCAAACGTCTGGAGGGCCGGAGTTTGCCTATGCCTCTTCTTAAGTAAAGTTCTCATAATACTTCATCATTGGCCATGCTGGCTGAGGCTGATGAGAAATGTCGTCAAAAACATCTAAAGGGCACCAGGTTGGGAAAGGCTCTTCTAGTATAACAACTATCAGATTTAAAACCAGAGCATATGATCTACAAGATAAGAGGGCTTTCATGGTAGCTGTGCCCAGACTCTGGAACTCTCTCCAAAAGGACTTACACCATGCCCCTTTTTAAGTGGCTTGCTAAAACCATTTTAAAAAGGCTTAAATTGCTAAAACCTTCCTTTTAAGGACCGGATTTCAACCCATAAATGTTAAACTGAACAACTTTTAACTGCTAGAAACTTAGTAGTTACTTTTTATTCTCTGTTCTGCTTCTAGTGTTGTTATGTTGATTTAACTTTGCTATTAACCACCTTAGCTCTATCAAAAACAGTCAGGATATTAATGCTTTAAATAAAAATAAAATACTTTTGTCGCTGTTCTTCTTTAAAAGCATTTATTGAGATTTCAGCGTCTTCCATCATTTCTCTGAGTCTGTCAACAACTACAAAATAGAGAGAAAGTTATGTTTATATATTAAGATAGAGAGGTTTGCTCACAGCAGATGCTTTAAAAATACTAACACATTGTAAAATAACCAAATTTAAAGAAAAGGGAAATGAGATAAAACCAGGCCATTTCTGCTAATGCAAACATCATCTACAGTTCCAAATATCCTTCAACAGGTACCTAGTGAATTTATGTCAGGAATAGATCTATAATAATCCAGTTCTAGTAAGATGGGTGGGGTACAATATATTATTATTATTATTATTATTACCACCGCACAAACAAGTGAGCTTGATCACATAACGAAATGACACTTCCACCTATCACAGCTAAAGCAGAATTAACGTTCATTGAATAACAGCAGTTTGGCAGATCCCTGCTCTTATACGTTGCAGGCCAACACAGAAGAGACCTTCAGCATGATATAATGAAGGTTTCCTCAGAAATAAGTCTCACTGACTTCCATTAGATTAAGTCCCTAGTATGTGAGCAGAGGACTGCAGACTTTGTAAACTGGGCTGCAACTGTGTTCAGTTTAATCCAATATCAGCCAAGTGCATAATGAAAACCCTTTCAGAGCTAAAACACAGGGAAAGTGTCAATCCGCAACACAATTATTCAGGCAAATTATAAGGATTTTCTTTTTCCTAGCAAAAACATTAGTGAAAAGACTTACATTCTGGGGTTGGCTTCACATGTTTTAATTGTCGCTGGAGTCCTTTAACATTATTATAAATTCTGCCCAGTTTTTGTTGGATATTAGCTTCTGTGAAAGTAAGCAAAAAAATAAATAAATCACCTTACACCTTCATTTTAAAACATCTTCAGTCCATTCTAAGGAAATTCTACAGAAATAAGTATAATGTTTGCTGCCCCAATTCAACAATTACTTAAGGGCGCAGGTATTCCAGTTCACAAATAAGAAGGACATGCTGGCAGAGGTGCCCTTTCATTTAAGTGAAAATAGAAAACCTTTCATCCAGGAGCAATATGAGCACATCTGAAAGTTCAAGGAGATCTGGATAATGAACAGTGTATTTAGGATCTGGGTGTTAATGATAGTTTCATATAACCAAAATACACAGAGAATGGAACATCTTCTGCAGAATGTTGTTATGTTATCCGTCATACAGACTATCCTATGCGTATTTACTCAAATGTGCCTCCATGTTCAACAGGATTACTTTCAAGAAAGTATGCAGGTATCTGTTAGCATGCCTCTTTATACATACACTTATTAGTAAATTCTCAATTTGTAGCAACAACTTTTACACAACCAGAGTGTTAAATTATAAGTGAGATCCAACCAGCACCTCCTCTGCAAGTTGTGAGCAGAAAATATTTCTTCTAACTCACTGGTCTTTGATTAGTAGGGCAGGACCCACTACTGGTTTGTAGACTCATCTATGATGGGTGACAACAGAAGCACTACACCACACTAATATATGGCAATAATAAATAGCTTGCAAAATGCATGTTTGGGTTAAAGGCAGGGTGGAGAAAAATCAATGATTTTTTAAAAAATCAGATTTTTTAAATTTAAATTTGATTTTTTTTAAATTTAAATTGGATTTTTAAAATAAAATGCTTTTGGAGGAAAAATCTTTCTAAAGATGGTTTTCTATCTAAGTTACATTATAGTCCAAAGGCTATTCATCAGGAAATAAGGATTTGTTTTAAGTTTTTCATGTGTGCTAAAACTCAGCCTAAGTTTTTTTTAAAAAAACAACAACATTTAACCACATCAGTTAACAAACATGGATACCGATGCTGTAATGTTATTGTTTTAGTTAAATAAATTGTTTAAATTGTTATTAAGGAAAATATTATTTTCTCCTTCCAATAAAGTACAGAAGAAAAGTTGTCCAAATATAAACAGTTAACTTATTAAACCTCACAATAATTTCATAATTATCTGTCTATGTATTTCTAACAGTATAACCAAATCAGTAATTTTTGACAGAAGTGTAAAAACTACTCTGAAATTTATTATTCCAAAAATGAAACCTTCATCTGGTTGTAAATATTAAGATTATACCAGCAAGAATGAGTCTTTCTGTAAAAAAAAATGATTTAAATCAAGTCTTACTGACTAGTGATTTAAATCAAATCCACCCTGGTTAAATGTGGGTTCTAAGTCTGAAAATGTTGAAGACTACTGCTCTAACTCATGGCAGAGAGGAGCAAAAAACTCATTCTGATGGTAGTTCTCATGCCTTTTAAGATGCCACTTTGGAGGCCTCCCAGTCTTGGCAGGCAGCTTTTCAGGGGGATGACATTTGAAGGGGAAGCTTAAGAGCCCAATCTGTGAGTGGAGCAACTGCTGATTCTAGTAAATCTCCCATGGCACCTAATAGGAAGTACGGTTCTTCCAAAAATGATCTTAAGAAGGGGCTGCATTTGGGAATTTTGATGCTGTAACATGTGCACATACCTGTTTTTAAAGCGGGGAGGGGGGGAGATATTTTATTCTTTAAAGAAAAAGTTGGGCAAAAATATTTTATACACACTGAAAATGCAAGTTTAAAAATCATTTTCATTTTTGTTCATTGTAACTGACATTATAATTTAGATAAAATGAGCAGTTACAATACTACAGAGCCTTATTCACACACACGTGCTACCCTCTCCCAAGTTTCATCTTAAGGTTCCTACAAGATTCAAACTCGTGACTTTACCACCCAGCATTTTCCTCTCTCCGCTCATTGTTTTGTTTACCATTCTGGAGAATTTGAAGCTTGCACACTATTTTGTGAGACTTTAGCCTAATAAAGGTATTGCCCTAATACAGATTTTAGAAATGGGCCAACACAGCTACCTTTACCTTTTGTGGTGTTTGTGGGACATAAAACGTAGCAGGAAATGCTTTCAGCTATTATCAAACTGGTAAATGAATAAGTATATATAAAGAAAACAATATTTTACTTTCTGCTTTCCGGTTCTTAGTCAGTTGATGTTCCAGTTCTTCCAATATGTTATATTCCCTCCTGAAGTCACTCTTCTTGTTGAAGAGAAGCATATTTTTATCCCTTTCAATGCTCAGAAGTCTAAAAAAAAAAAAAAGTTTGGTTTAAAATGCATGTTTGACAAATAACAGAATATACATTGGTACCAATTAAATCAAAAATAGTTTTGACCAGTTAGGTCTCCATGCAATACAAAGAAATACACTACTCATATTTTTCAGTTAAAATGCATTCACCCAAGCAAAGCAAATACAATAAATAATTTTAATTAGTCTATAGTTTGAACCTGTAAATTATTCTAGTAATAAGTAAAAAATGAATCAATAAATAGTATTAAACCACATCACTTTCAGAAAAATATAAAATTATAATTTCCATAAAAACACACCTCATTTAAGGCAAACTAGGCATGACCAAGAGATCTGCATTGTATACACATATCCTGCCACTTTTTCCTGATTAAAATGCCACTCAAGCCAAATGCCCTGCTGCATAAAACATGTAAGTACCACAAAGGCAATACTCTCCAATGTAGTCCTCTTATGTCTTTAGGAATGCTAATTAATAATAAATTGGATGTTGATCAAAGCCTTACTACAAATCAAATTTCATAATGGTTATCTTAGGGACAAGTCTATTGTAACATAAAATTCAGCAGTCACATAATAAAGGAGAAATATTGCTCCTTTTAAACTAATCATACTGAGTGGAAATGTTATGATTTAAGATTTTTTTCTTATTTGATTGGGCTTTGCTAATAGCTACAATCCTACGCACATTTACTAGTGTGTTATACAGTAGGGCTTATTTCTGGGTAAACATGCTTAGGATTGGGCTGCACATGTTTGTAATATATGAACTCTATGGGTGGGGTCAACAAAATGATCCAAAAGTCTGCTTTTTAAAGCTGAACAAAGATTATACTTCCTTTAAAGGTTATTATAACCATCTATTATAACCAAGAATATTGAACTATATGAGTTCCAAGTCACTATCCTGTTATAATTTCTGACAAAAAGAACTGTTTCTTTGTAATTTTAAACTATGTTTCCTACAACAATAAAAGATATACACTTACTCTTTATTTAGTTTGTCCCCTTCTCTTAGAAATTCAGCTTTCTTAGGCTGATCAGCTTTCATCTTGCAGTTCTGAAATTTTGTTGAAAAGCAAATGAATTACTGAAAGAACCGTGATTTTACCCAAAACATGAGGAGGAGGAGGAGAAGAGTTTGGATTTGATATCCCGCTTTATCACTACCCAAAGGAGACTCAAAGCGGCTAACAATCTCCTTTCCCTTCCTCCCCTACAACAAACACTCTGTGAGGTGAGTGAGGCTGAGAGACTTCAAAGAAGTGTGACTGGCCCAAGGTCCCCCAGCAGCTGCATGTGGAGGAGCGGAGACGCAAACCCGGTTCCCCAGATTATGAGACTACCGCTCTTAACCACTGCAGAAAAACTGTGGGGTTTTTTTATTATTATTTAAAGAGTGCTCAAAAAATAAAAGCTGAATGCCTGATTCAGTCATCTTTCACCTGAATCTTAAGGTACAGGTAAAGGGACCCTAACCATTAGGTCCAGTCGTGGCCGACTCTGGGGTTGCGGCGCTCATCTCGCTTTATTGGCCGAGGGAGCTGGCGTACAGCTTCCGGGTCATGTGGCCAGCATGACTAAGCCGCTTCTGGCGAACCAGAGCAGCACACGGAAACGCCCTTTACCTTCCCGCCTGAGCGGTACCTATTTATCTACTTGCACTTTGACATGCTTTCGAACTGCTAGGTTGGCAGGAGAAGGGACTGAACAACGGAAGCTCACCCCGTGACGGGAATTCAAACCGACGACCTTCTGATCGGCAAGCCCTAAGCTCAGTGGTTTAACCCACAGCGCCAAGGGTGCTTAAAAAATAAAAGATGAATGCCTGATTCAGTCATCTTTCACCTGAATCTTAGTCAGTTGAATTAAACCACTACAGTGGTACCTCGGGTTAAGTACTTAATTCGTTCTGGAGGTCCGTACTTAACCTGAAACTGTTCTTAACCTGAGGTACCACTTTAGCTAATGGGGTCTCCCACTGCCGCCACAAGATTTCTGTTCTCATCCTGAAGCAAAGTTCTTAACCTGAAGCACTATTTCTGGGTTAGCGGAGTTTGTAACCTGAAGTGTATGTAACCTGAAGCGTATGTAACCCGAGGTACCACTGTAATGGCAAATCAAATAAAGGAATTTAAACGTCACATTAAAACATTCTAACGCAATATCTCATTGCAATACAGTGGTACCTCGGGTTACATACGCTTCAGGTTACATACTCTGCTAACCCAGAAATAGTACCTCGGGTTAAGAATTTTGCTTCAGGATGAGAACAGAAATTGTGCTGCGGCAGCAGCGGGAGGCCCCATTAGCTAAAGTGGTGCTTCAGGTTAAGAACAGTTTCAGGTTAAGAACGGACCTCCGGAACAAATTAAGTACTTATCCTGAGGTACCACTGTATGTATCTCCAAGATCCCTACAGAGCAAGATTCATTCCTTTACTGTGGCATTTGGGGGCAAACTCAGAGCACACCAGAACTTTCACGCACATAATAGTTCCTGCGAACAAGGCCCATAAGCTGGGCGGTTGCGGATCCGCCGCCTTCCAAGGGTCCCGATCCCCGCTGCGCCATGGCGGAGCCGGTCCTGACGGTACCGGATCCCTTTATTTGCGGGAAGAATAGACGCGTTAATGGAGGCTCTGACGGCATAGGGAGCAACGGTGGTAGTTTTCAGACACGTGTAGGAAACCAGCGAAGTCCCGTGTAACCCTCGGTCTCCGCCTTTCCTCCCGCGGCCACAAGCAGAACCTCACTCAGAAGCCCACAAAGACGAAGCTCGATATAGCTTGAGGGTGATGGGGAGAATTTACCTGGTTGCTCCTGGTTACCGTCGCTAGCGCTGCCGTTGCTAGGGCGGCCATTGTTACAAGCCCTCAAACAGCGCGGGGCTGCATTGGCGACGTATCGCCGTTGCCTATGGACGACGTGAGGCCCGTGACTCGACGACGTCACAATGGGGCGGGGCTAAGCAGCGCTCTTCCCGCATAGAAAAGATAGAGCGCCAGTTTTCCCCTCAGTGGCAGTTTCCTTTCGTTGCTGCGGGCGTTGTTGCCTCCGCATAGGAATCGATGGAGAAAACCCCGCATTTCATTTATTCGCTTCTTACGTTTCTGTCCCGCCCTCAAAGAAGCCCAAGGCGGCAAACAGCCAAACAAGGCAGTTAAAAAAGCATATTTAACAACATTAGGAACATATAAAAACCATTTTGAAAAACAGGAACGTGCTCTCATGGGTGGTAATTTCAAGGTTGCCAGGATTTTGACACATCTGTATCGGACAACAGCGTTTCATGGCACTGTGAGGGCCACAGCAGCGCACAGTACAAAATCAAAATCGCACAGCTGAAAGGGTCGTCTATCCCAAAGCAGACTTTAGAATAAACATATTTAGGATTGCACTTATTATTTGGCAATTCTAGACACAGGTCCAAGCGGTTTCCCCCTTGCTCCGCACCTAACCTGTCCCCTTCACACTAAAGAGCGGTTTTTTTGGGGGGGGGCGGACAGTGGGAAGAGAGAAAGTGTGGGTTAGCCCTTTGCAGAATATGCATTGAGCATTCATGTGGTAAAGACATCCCTCCCACCCCCAACACCCAGCATACCATCCAACTTTTTCAGGCCCAATACTGGCATGCGCTCCCTGGTGAGTCGCATGACCCGCACCTCACTCTCGCGCCAAATAAAGCACTTTTTTAGAGGCGAGAGTGCAGCACCCAAAATGACCACCACAATCTCACACGGGGGGGAAAAACTGGATGTCCTGTTTTTTTCTGGGGCACCTGGCAGGTATGCCCTGGCGCGAACACAAACAGAAATGAATGTGGCACTAATGAAGCTACGATGGTGCGAAGAGCTGGGAGGAAATCACTGTGGAATCCACGGATTAAAAACTTCACTGATCTCTAAGCTGGTACTGTCATGTGAACATTCCCTTAGAAGCAAAGTCATAAATGCAGACATTACCCCTAAAGGAGTGGATGTGACACATACTTCTTCTGGCTACTCAGTACATTTTCAAAGCTGCCTCCCTTGACCTGGAAATTCTACTGCTAAAACTCAGACTGGCTGTCATTGCTTGGCAGCATTAATTTTTCCTTCCCCCTTTGCTGCGTTTGTATGTTTGTCTTGAGACAGCAGGTGGCTGCAGATGAATTTACGGTACAGAATTGGGGATTCTGCATCAAGTTTCTTAAATCTTTTTCAAGAACCATGAACCATAACAGAAATAATTTACAGTCAAACTCTGTAAACAGATAGATCAGTGACTGAACCTGCACCTCTCAATTACCTTCACTCTTAAATGTCAAAAGACTTTTATTTATTTTATAAAATTTATACAACACTTGGTTGTAAAAAAAAAGCACCTCAAAGCGGTTTACGAAAAGATAAATCAATAATACTGAGAAAAATTCACAGCTCTACTTTAAACATTAAAATTTACCTCTACTTTCTAAGCATCCAGCTTGTCTAAACAAGAATGTTTTTTGTAGACACCAAAAAGATTACAGTAAAGGCGTCTGTGCAACTTTTTCTGAATGCTGTATGGAAAAGGACATGAATCTGACCTTGGAGAGTTTGTAAGTAAACTCTGTCTACAGTAAGGGAAGCGGAAATTTTGGAACTCACAAGGGTATATTTTAAATGTCTCACAGCCTATGTTTCCATGTTTACTTTGTTGCATATTATGTAATTTTGAATCTCTGCTTCTGTTCTCTCACCTTCTCTCACCAAAGAGTACTTGCCCCCACCCCAAACCTGGATCTTGGCATCTAGGGAATTCACCTTTATACCAATATTTTTCCAATGCCACCAACACTTTCTGCATTCACTTGTTCATGAGTTATTTCATGTTCACATTTAATCAGCTACAATGATTCAAAGAGAAGAGAGTGAGAAGAGGAAGAAAACAAATTTTTACTTCCTCCCTCATAGGACTCTTCCAATTACAGTACTTTTCCATGGTCTGTCAGCCTTTTAGTAAATACTGTTCCATGAACCCCTTTCATACAGTACATTAACTAATGCTGGGCTTGCTAGTTATGTTTTGGCTGCAAAATCTTCCACACTAACATGGGCCTGAACACAAACAAACTCCAGATTCTCTGCACTTCTTTGTATTATTGGAATCTGTGGCTGATACTCAACTATTTGAAAAGGAAAGTGAGTGGAAATGTCTTTGCACATCAACTGGCTACATCTTGGTCACACAATGTTGTCAGAAGGTCAATGGAATGACTAGCCAAATGTACTTTTGTTTATGAAAAAGAACAGCCTGTAATTAACGTGTTGTGTTTCACCTATTTTGCTGTACTGAGTCACCAGCATCATTAATATGAAGGTGCACAGGGCACAGAGGCCAGAGAACAGTGATAAAAGAGGAGGAGCAGAAGGGAACAAATCTTCCTGCTGTGTTTTGTTCATATACATGGATTAAAATCAAACTCGAAGAGCATCATCAGCCAAACTTTCTGCAGCAGATATCGAAGAGAGACACTACATGATGAAAATCACTTTACAGACTTTTTTCCCCCCAGCTTTTTTTTTCCCAGCTGCAGGACACAAAAAATATTCATAGGTGCAAAACAAAATGGTCTATTCTGATGACATTTTATTGTCTAATAAAGTGTTTTCAGAGTGCCTTCCTGCTGTATTTTTCCTTTTTTGTTTGTGTGGCTGCAATTATGTTGGATTCTTTTGTGTTGATGGGTTTTTTAAAATGTATTTTACTTTGAATAGGGATTAGCAAGTAGTGGGAAGAATTCTAAAGCCTGAAAATAGTCATTAAAGCACATTAAAGAGAATTGTTCTTATTGATTACTTCATGGAGTAGATTGAAAATATCTCTTTGTTCTGCCACTGCAGGGTTGTTTAATTCTTTGTCTCAGGTTGCAATGCTGTAATGCCAGGGGAACATGTTGTGCCCTCTGATGCAGATTTTGCTTTGCTTTTTTATTGAGTCATCACCAACCATTCTGTTCTCAGGTTACTGTTGTTGCAGGGATTTGCAAACTTTTTTATACTCAATCTCACCATGTTAAAAAAGTAAATAAATCTCCAATTGTACCAAAAACGATTACATGAAAGCAAAACATACACAATTACTAAGGTTTACAGTGAAATCTATACAGTACATGTCTACTCAAAAGTAAAATTCGGTGAGTTCAATGGGACTTACAGGTAAATGTGTACAGGATGGCAGCTGAAGTTGCCTAGATGACTAGACAAAATCGTTTTATGGACATCTTATGAGGACACTTATAAACCACTTTATAGTAGTATTGGTCTGATAAGGATGTAGGTGCAAATTGTCACATTGGTGATAATTTTAAGTGATGCTTCAAACAATTATCTTGCCAGTTATGCTTCTTTCCTCCTCCCCAGCATCTTTTACTTTCTTTTCTGCTATTCCTTTTCTGCTTTTGTTCACCCCTTCATTAAATACTCATGGGCAAATTTTGCCATCAGGCAAATAATCATTTTGTACATGTGAGTTCGAGGGAAACCAACTTCTCCCCCTTTTCAAGGAAGGGACCTTAAGGGTCATCTAGTCCAACCCCCCTGCAATGTAGGAATTTCAGCTAATACATCCATGACAGATGGCCACCCAGCCTCTGCTTAAAAACATCCAAGGAAGGAGAGCCCAACACCTTCCATGGGTGTCCATTCCATGGTCAAACAGCTCTATCCATCAGAAAGTTCTTCCTGATGTTTAGTCGGAATCTTCTTTCTTATAACTTGTAGTCACCTAACACCAAGGAAATGCTGGAGAGGGTGCACCTCCACAGGCACATACCTCCACATGTGGTGGGAGTGTCCCAAAATCCAACTATTCTGGACAACAGCCATACAAGAAATATGTAAAATAACTAAGCAAGTAATAGACATCACCCCAGAATTGGCCCTACTAAACATCTTCCAAGACAACAATGCCCATTTACACCACAAAGAACTCATAACCCACCTGCTCTCAGCAGCCAGAAACACCATAACCAGACACTGGAGAGACCTGTCAGGAGTAAGCATGGACCAATGGTACCAAATAGTATGGGAAACAGCCCTACTAGAAAAATTAACTAATAAACTGAAACTGACACGGGGACAAACAGAAGAAGACGCCTTCACCCCGGTATGGCTCCCTTTATCACATACACAGCCCAACAGGACAATGACAATAATCCACCAACAGCATACAAATCAATATGGCTAACCTGATCCAAAACACCCACCCACCTCACTCACACACGAAAACAAAGATCACCACAGCCAATCACAAGCAAACAATCACACCCTCACACCCTAGGCCAACCCCAACCTCTCTCACCACCAAAGGAACACAAGTGAACAACACAAGCAACGCTGACACCAAACTCTACATACATTAAACATAATAGAAACACCGCCACCCGACCCCACCCCCATCCATCTTCCCTCTCTCCACCCCCTTTCTTTTTTCTTTCTTTTTTCTTCTCCCCCTAATGCCTCAACAAATGAAACGGATTTGTAAAAATGTTACATGAAAAAAAAAATACGAGGCACTACACTTCTGTAAAACAAGAAAATCCTTAATAAAATATTTTTAAAAAATAAAATAACTTGTAGTCATTGCTTCAGGTCCTCCCCTCCAGAGCAGGAGAAAACAAGCTTGCTCCATCTTCCATGTGACAGCCCTTTAGATATTTGAAGATGGTTATCCTACCTCCTTTCAGTCTCCTTTTCCTGGCTAAACATACCCAACTCCCTCAACTGTTCCTCATAAGGCTTGGTTTCCAGACCCTTGATCATCTTGGCTGCTCTCCTCTGCACATGTTCCAGCTTGTCTATTATCCTTAAATTGTGGTGCCCAGAATTGGACACAATACCCCGGGTATGGTCTGACCAAGGAGGAATAGAGCAGAACTATTACTTTCCTTGATCAGGACACTATACTT